TGGGACCCTGGGTTCTATCCCAGCACCACACACACACACACACACACACACACACACACACACACACACACGCACACACACCCTAACTGTGGGCTATGGCTGGAGGAGCAGGCTGAACCCACATAGTCCATCAGGAGGAAAGCGAGTGCAGAGGGATGCCCAGGGAGGTGCCAACCTGCAAGGTGGCTCAGGCCCTCCAGGCTGGTGGGGAGGTTGCTCTGGGTGCGCTGTGTGTTCCGCAAGTGCAGGGTCTGCAGGGCGGTCATGGCTGGGAGCTGCCTGCCAGGGAAACATGAAAWGTCAGGGAAGGGGAAGGGCCCACACAGGGGGTTTGGGTGGTGATGGGAGAGTGGAGGGACAGGCACCAGGCCAGTGGCAGCAGTGTGGTGAGGCAGACAGAAAGACAAGACCAAGAGGTAGATCAGGACCCTCAGGAAGGACAGGCCCAGCTTGAGGGTGCCAGCCTACACATAGTGTAGGGCCRGGGCTCCTGGGAGCAGGGGTATGACTGGTGTAGGTGCTCACCGGAGCTGTGCATGCAGCAATGGGTTCCCATTGAGCACCAGTGTCTGCAGGTGCACCAAGCGGCGCATCTGGGGTGGCAGGCTCTCCAGACGATTCTCACTAAGGTCCAGGTACAGCAGGTCCGTGAGGTTGATGAAGAGCTGGTTGGGGATAGTGTCGATACTGCGGTGGGTGGGAAAGAGGCAGGGCCGCCTGAGTTAGCTCCAGAGTGCAGCCCCAGCCCCCCAGACACTCTGACTACACCTAGTCAGCACCTGTTATGGCTGAGATTGAGCACCAGCATGTTCTTGGCATTCTCCAGCTCCCGTGGGCACTCGGTCAGCTGATTGTAGCTCAAGTCCTGGGCAGAAGGGACAAGGCCCAGGTCAGGGGTGTTCCCACCCTGCCAAGCCTCTGCCATTCTCAGGGATTAGGCAGGACACTAAGCAGGGAGTGGATGCTGGGGAAGTGGCTCAGGGACAAAGGGAAACAGTAGGATCCTGGCAGGAAGGGTGTGAGGATTAGGGATCTGACTCCACCAGTGACCTCAGGCAAGGCACTGCCCATTCTAGGCCTCAGTTTCTTTATCTGTAAAATTAGATAGTGACGGCCCCACAAGGACTGGTCATGAGTGGTGACTGAATGGTTGGRGGTTGGGCCAGCCTAGAGGCCAGACAGGTGGGTAACCACTGACCAGGACTGAGAGGTCATCCAACTTGAAGATGTCATCAGGGACTCCAGAATTCTTCAGGCTATTGGCTCGAGCTACAATGGCCTAGGGAGAAATGGTGAGAGTCTGATTCCTGGTTTCCCTACCCAGGAGGAGCAGAGTGGTCAGGACGGGATGCCTCCTTGGGAAGACCACCAGAGGGTAGGCCTGAGTGCTCTCCTACCTCTGGTCTTTGTTCACACACTTCCTCCAACTGATGGGCTTTTTCCTAGCCTCCTGGTGAACTCCTATTCAAACCTAAAAGTCCAATTCTCTGGGGCCTTCAGGAAAACTTTTCTTTCTTTTCTTTTTTGTACTGGGGATCTAAATCAGGGGTGCTTTACCACTGAACTTCATCCCAGCCCTTTTCATATTTTTGAGACAGGGTCTCATTAAGTTGCTTAGGGCCTTGCTAAGTTGCTGAGGCTGGTCTTGAACTTGTAATCCTCCTGTCTCAGCCTCCTGAGTCACTATATTACAGGCATGCACCACCATGCATAACAGGAAACATTTTCTGATCAAACAATCCCCCTGCCCCTTTTTCTTCCCAGTACTGGTGATTAAATTTAGGGGCACTCTACCAGCTTCTGGCCAGACTCTGGGTCCCTAACCCCAGCCTGAAGGCCTCCTGGCCAGTACTCACCCGCAGTGAAGGCAGGCTGGACAGCTCCCCATGAAGTGTAGTCAGGTTGTTGTGGCTCACAGACAAGTGCTCCTGGGCCAGGACAGGAGAGCAAAGGCTCAGCAGGGTGGGTAGGGGGTCCAGAATTCCTATCTGTCTCCACAGCTCTGCACCATTCAGGAGAAGACACCACCAGCCAATCCATTTCTTCAGCCTCCCTCCCCTTATAGACCAGGCCTCTTCCTGTTCACCTTCTGGGACGGAGGGCTCACTCCTGTCTGCCAGCTTTGCTCACAGCTCTGCGTGTCCTTCCTCTATGTCTTTGTCAGCTCCATAGGCTTAGCCCACCTGGCCCAGCCCCAGCCCCAAAATACTTCCCTGCCTGCCCAAGGCCCCTTACCAGCTTCTGTAGGGCAGCCAGCTCTTCTGGCAGGTAGCAGAGGCCTGTGCGGTTCAACTTCAGCCATCGCAGGCTGGTCATGGCCTTGACATTCTCAGGAAAGTAGCCACCCTGTGTGTGGGGAGGATGGATTTCACGGGGAGGATGGTCTGGGAAAGGGGTGCCTATGCTCCACCACATTCTGTGGCTCCCACTGCCCACGTAAGTCTTCAGGGAGCAACAGAGCCAGCCCACCAGCTGTGAAACCCTGGACAAGTCACTTTTCACTCTGTGCCTCAATTTTTTCACCCATAAAATTAAACTAATAAAAGACAAAGTGTCAGCCTGCCTCTCCTGCTGGACTCTGAGACCCAGGAAGGCTGGACAAGACTGTCTTGTCTGGGGGTGATGCCCAGCACCCCACTTTGTGGTCAGCTCTGCTCGCATTCCTTTGCCTGGAGTCCGGGCTCTCATTGGACTGCCTGGAGGGGGAGTTTTCCCRAGCCTCTGTGAAGTCCCCACTAGGCTCCCACCCCGCCATCAGCACAGGACCCATTCCTGGMAAGGTCCAAACCAACACTGCAGCTRAGGGTCCACCTCCTCACCCTGCACAGGTATTACCTTTTGTGTTCAATCACTTGCCATATTCCAATGCCCACCTCATCAGCTTCTGCCCTTTGTGCACAGAGTCTGGGTGGCTTATGCCTTTAGTGCCTTTGGCTGCTGGGTCCCTTCCCCCCTGCAGCCACATTCTTGGCTGGTGACTCAGATTCTCCCAGTCCACAGGAGACACGTGGAGACCCCAGGTCAGGACAGTAGGGATGGATCAGAGAAAAGTGATGTGGTCACCTATGCGTGGGGTCAAAGGTGTGTGCACCTACAGGTAATGGCAGGAAGAGCCTGCCTGCCTCCTCCCCAGTCCCAGCCAGTAGCTGCCCACCACCTCCTGGAGCACCAGCCTTCAGAACAGCTCTGCCGCCACCTTCTTCTCTGCCTCCCCTCTGGCCCTGACACCTTCCACCTCTTTCTTGACAGCCTAGAACCGCCTCCTTTCCCCACCAATTGGCTTGCGGGCGCCTGGAGCCGGTCAGTTCGGACTACACCGCCCAGTACCTCTCCCAGCTGCCTGACGCTCTCGGTACCAAGAGATCCAGCCCCGTCCAGAGGTCCAGACGGCTACATTGAAGCCCCATGAGCAGATGAGAAAACCCAGGCACCGAGAGGGGAAGTGACTTGCCCAAGACCACACAGGATGATGGTGGCGGGGAGGGTGGCGAAGAGCTGGCTCCACACCCGCCCTGGGCAGCCCTGGCAGCTCGGCTGGCCGGCAGAGTCCGGGCCTGGCTCGGGCGTGTCACCTCAGAGGGGCGGGAGCCGGGATCGCCGACCGCCGGGCCACGCTCCCGCCCGGGCGGAGAACGGCGCGCGGGGTCGCAGCTCCAGCGGGGCCCCCCCTCGGTTCGCCGGGGCGAGCGCCGGGCGGGTCCTCGGGGCCAGGCGCTACCGGGGCGACCGCCGGAGCCCCACCCGCCCCGCCGCGGGCCTGGGCGGCGAGACAGGAAGCGGAGAGCGGCGGGGCCCGCGCGCGAGAAAAGGCCCGTGGGGAGGCTCGGCCGCCGCCCGACGAGGCTGGGCTGGGCTCACCTTGAAGTCGTTGCCGCTGAGGTCCACGCCGCGCACGAACGGCAGCACCCCGGTGGCCTCCATGGCGGCGCCTCTCTGCTGGGCGCCKGGAGGGAGCAGGGGCGGCCCCGAGAGCCGCGGGCTGGGCTAGCGCCGGCCCCGCCCCCTTAACCCTGCGGCGCCGGGAGTCTGCGCGCCCGAGCCGCTCGGCTCCGCGCGGGGTGGGGTGGCTTCAGCTCCCCCGAGGCCTCAGTCTCCGTCTCCTCGGGTCCCGGAGAGGCCTCCTGGTGTTCGGGTTGGAGGCTGGCACCACCTCCGAGTTGCGGTCGCAGCGCCCTGGGCGTCGTTGACCTGGACTCTGGGAGAGGTTCCGGACCCGGGAAGGTCCTAGTTAGGCTCGGCCTCACGGACAGGTGGTACTAGGGCATCCGAGTTCTCGGGTTTCCGCTTCTGGCCGCAGTTTCCTCATCAGTTGACTGTTTCCTAAAGTTGTTGCCAGAAGCGAAGGCACGWGTAGCTCTTCGCAGACAGCAGGCCCTCAGTGCCCGTGGCCGGTTGTCATGGTCGCCGCTGAGTGTCAACACTTTCCCCTCTGCTTATTTACTGGTTTGCTTCGTGTTCTGTAGAAAGAAGCGTCCCTCCTGGTCCATGCTGTTTATGGCTTTCGAATCCGCACCCGGTAAGTGCCGAGTGTGTGAGCCACAGCTGTTCTCCGCACAGCTGTCCTTCACAGGGCGTTGAGGGGGGTGGTGGCGTCTCAGATCCCGGTTTTACAGGACAGAAAACAGACCTGGGGGAAGAAAAGCCCACAGAAGCTCTCACGGAGCAGTGGGCAGGGGTTGGCGCTTTCGCCACACTGTGTGCCCCGCGGCCCAATAGGTAATAACGAGGTGGGAGAACGTGGGTCTTTAGGCGAGGTGCGGTCAGTCTGCCCGGGAGGACCGTCACACACACCACCGCCCCGTTGTGGGCTCGGAATGCTGCTCTGCACCTTTAAATCMGGACTTCGCTGGAGAGTCCCGTCCCTGAGGGAGCGTGGCTGGCCAGTCATTGGCTGAGCCGCGCAGTATTTTGGAACGTGTGCGCTGCAGTCCGGCGCTCCGATTGGAGGGAAGGCCTGCTCGTCTGCGTGCCTCCGGGGTCAGCGGCCGCGGGGCCTCGGCGTTCGGTTCCCGGGTCCTCCACCTTCCATTCTCAGGCAGGTCTGGCCATCAGGGCCCCGCGAACCCGCTGTGTCCTCCGGTGGGTGCGCTGACTCCGAGACGCAGGTACCCCCGGAGCGTCWTGGGGCGGTCCCTGGGGTCCTCCAGCTTCGGGCGTGGCGCGCGCGTCCCAAACACCGAACGGGGGCGTGGCCCGCGGTCACGGCTGGGAAGGGAGGGAGGACTTTGGGCCCCAAGGTCTGAGTTCGAGCTCTGCCCTTCCCGTTTTTKGGGTGCCGCACTGGGTTTCCAGGGTCTCAGCGACCCCACTTTTGAATGGGCCGTAACAAGCCCCACTGTGGGCAGCTACGTGACCTGCCCAGCCCTAGCCCAGGACTGGAGGGTTTGGCCAACCGGGAGGACTGGYGGCATTTGGGCCTGACTGCTCAGAGTGGGTTATTTTTAACTCCCCGAGCCCTCCCCTACTTCCCGAATTGGAAGGCTTCCGGCTGGGGCCTGTGCGACCCTGCAGGCCGAGTCCCAGTTTAGATAAGTGTTGGAATTAAAACGCTTTTACAGTTTGCAGAGTCCTGCTGTGGTCCTGCTGTGGGTGGCAGTGTTGATTCCCTTGGCTTGAATGGGGAAGTAGAAACCGGCTGTGGGGTCGTGGTGGGTCACCTGGTTACCCTGTGACCTCACCGGGCCCCAGAGCTGGGTCTTATTTATAGTGTGGGGTAAGTGGGCAGGTGTCCAGGGCTGAGTCACACAGTGCTTCAGGCTTCAGCCATTCCAGGCATCTTGTCACCTGGCAGCTGGGCCACAGGCACCCAAAGTCCATCAGGGAGGTCAGAAGTCCTTGGTGCCCCAGTAGGCTGTGACCTCATGACTTGGTGGACTGGTCCTTGAGAGAGTTCTACTTCTGCTTCTCAAGTGCCTGGCCCTACCTGGTCACACACTTCAGGGCTGCTCCCTTCCGGCTGCTCACTTCACCGCTGCCTGTGCCAGTTCACTGGTAAGCAAACAGGCCCTGGCTCACCTTCTCTACTGCTTGGTCCCCCCACCTGCAATACTGGCCCAAGTCCCAGAGAATCCTCTCTCCCAGGGCATTGTGGCTCCCTTGTGGGCTTGACACTGTTACCCCAGGGCACCTGCCCCTCTATTTGGGATCTGTGTCTCTTTCTTACTGCCTAAGGGTGGATCCTTCAGACCTGACTTGCATGTACCCATCTACAGGTGGCTTCAGCCTCAACTGCCCCATGCCTCTCTTGCAGGCGGATCATGGCAGAGTTCTCCCAGAAGAGGGGAAAGCATCGTGGGGACGAGGCCCTGGGCAGCGCTGTGGACTTCCTCCTGGCCAATGCCCGCCTGGTGCTGGGTGTGGGCGGGGCTGCTGTGCTGGGCATTGCTACCCTGGCAGTGAAGCGGGTAAGGCCTGGCTGGGTGGGACTGCCTGAGACTTCCAGAGGAGGATGACAGGGCTGGGGTCACACAGTGCTTCAGGCCCCAGGAGGGGCAGTGGCACTCCCTAAGGCTGACATTGGAATCCAGGGCAACCCCAAGCTTTGCCAGGATTCTCTAGACTTCTGCTTTGTGTCACTCTGCCTACAGCTCATTGACAGGGCCACTAGCCCTAGGGATGAAGATGATGCTAAGGGGGACAGCTGGAAGGAACTAAACCTGCTCAAGGCCACACCGCACCAACAGCCCCGGCCCCCACCTGCTTCCCTCAGCCAGCCTGTGTCGCTCCCAGCCCCCTTGCCCTCTGCCCCAGGTGAGCTGCATGCACCCCTTCCCTTCTGATGTGGTTAAGTTTTCCTTTGGTGGTCACCTTTGGGAGATGCAGCCCAGGCTGTTCCCCTGAGTGACTTTGCAGTCCTATGCAAATTCCTGTTCTTTCTAGGTTATGGGCTTCTAATGTTTAATGGGGATCTTGGTTTTGTGGGGTTTTTTGTTGTTGTTTTCTGTTATGTTTTGTGATGCTGGAGATCAAACCTAGGTCCTTGCACTTGGTAAGCAAATACACACCACTGAATGACTCCCTGATCATACTGTTGTGGATTTTTTTGGGGGGGGGCACTTGACCACTGAGCCACATCCCCTCCCCTATTTTGTATTCTATTTAGAGACAGGGTCTCACAGAGTTGCTCCGCACCTCAATTTTGCTGAGACTGGCTTTGAACTCTTGATCCTCCTGCTTGGCATCATCATTCCTTCCTGAGTTTGCTACCATGCTACTGTGATGGTGGGGAGCCTCAGATGAGGAAACTGAGGCTCAAGAGGGGCAGGACCTGTCTTCCTCACTCTGCATGGAGTTCTTTTAGCTGTAGGGCCAGGGTGTTGGGATTCTGGGCCAGGGCAACTTTATCATCGAGTATTCACAGTCCTGAGGACCTAGACCTGGTATTCTCAGGTGGACATTACAGGTGAGGAACAAGGCCCAGGGCTGTCACACAGCCAATAATGAGGTAGAATTCTTTTAACTCATTGTGGCGGGGTTCTTACATGTTCCCCTGGTCCCTTCACTCTGCAGAAGGTCCCACAGATACTGAGCTTCAGAAGCCACCTCAACTCGGCTCCCCAGTACCACTGTGTCTGACGTTCCAGGAGAAGTTGCTGGCATTTGAGCGGGAACATGTGGTTATCCCAGCAGCTCATGTGGCTTTGGCCAAACAGCTGGCCGGTGACATTGCCCTGGAGCTACAGGCCTACCTGCGGAACAAGTTCCCGGAACTGCCCTTTGGGCCACTTGTGCCTGGTGGTCCACTCTATGATGGGCTGCAGGCAGGGGCTGCTGAGCATGTGCGCCTGCTGACCCCACTGCTGCTGGAGCCAGGCCTGTGGATTCTGGTACCTGGCGTGGACACTGTGGCCCGGGACCCTCGCTGCTGGGCAGTACGCAGGACTCAGCTTGAGTTTCACCCCCGGGGGAGCAGCCCCTGGGACCGCTTCCTGGTAGGTGGCTACCTCTCCTCCCGTGTCCTGCTGGAGTTGCTCCGCAAGGCCCTGGTTGCCTCCGTCAACTGGCCAGCCATTGGTAGCCTGCTTGGATGCCTGATCCGGCCCAGCGTGGCCTCGGAGGAGCTGCTGCTGGAGGTGCAGCATGAGCGCCTGGAGCTCACTGTGGCTGTGCTTGTGGCAGTCACTGGGGCCCATTCTGACAACCACCTCCTCCTGGCCTGGCCCCTGGAGGGCCTGGCTGGGAATCTTTGGCTTCAGGACCTGTATCCAGCAGAGGCTGCCAGGTTGCAGGCCCTGGATGATCAGGATACTGGCACTCGCCGGAGGCTGCTGCTGCTACTGTGTGGTGTGTGCCGTGGCCATCCAGCCCTGGGGCAACTGGGCCGGAGCCACCTGACCCAGGTGGTTCTTCGTCTGGGGGAAGAGGAAGTGGACTGGGCCGAGGAGGCCCTGGGGGAGCGCTTTCTGCAGGCCCTGGAGTTGCTCATCAGCAGCCTGGAGCAGGCCAGCCTGCCCTGCCACTTCAACCCTAGTGTGAACCTCTTAGGTAGTTTGCGGGAGGAGGAGATTGATAGCATTGGTTATGCACTCTACAGTGGTCTACAGGCACCTGAGGGGCTGCTTTAGATGGGTGGGGACCGGGCAGCCAGCATGTTTTCTGATATTGGTGATCTGTACCCATCTCACTCCCAGGAAATTGCAGTGTTTTTTTGTTTGCTTTTAGCCAGAACACAGGAGAGTATACTACCTAGGCCCACAGAATGGGTATATTCCTGGGCTATGGTCCCTGGGGTCACTGAGCCCAGAGAGCTTAGGTAACTGTCACCTGAGTGTGACTGGGCTGCAACCACTCACTCAGGTGTCCCTCAAACCTTTGGGGTGACCTAGGACCTTGGGGTCAGACCCTATCACCAGCAGCAAATCCACTGAGAATGTGTCTTCTCCATCCCAACCAGTTCCATTTTTCTGCCAAGACAGAAATTTAGTACTTTTTTCAGGCTCCTGTGCCAGGCATCCTGGAGGCATCTAAGTATCATGTGTTTGTTTCCGCCCTGGGTGCTGGAGTTACCTGGTATCCTGGAGGCCAGCATTTTGTTTTTATTTTTTGGTACCAGGAATTGAATCCAGAGGCGCTGAGCCACATCCCCAGCCCTTTTTATTTTTTGACACAGGGTCTTGCTAAGTTGCTTAAGGCCTGATAAGTTGCTGAGGCTGGCTTTGAACTTGGGGTTCTCCTGCCTCAGACTTCCCAGCTGTGGGATGACAGGCGTTCACTACTGAACCTGGGTAGAGGCCAGCCTTTGGCTCTTGAAGGTTGGTGTTTTCCTGCTGTCTTCTGTGCTTTTTTTTTGTTGTTGAATTCTCCAGCTCTAGAGTGAGATGCTGTCCATTTGATACCCTCCAGCTAGGTGAGTTTTCTCCTAAGGCAGCAGAGGCCCAAGGCCAAGGCTGTGCCTCAATAGCTGCTCCTGGGCGCCACTGGAAAGCAGAGGACACGCCTTTCCCAGAGGCCTGTGTGCTGACTTGGCCTCTTCAGTGTGCCAAAATGAACTCTCAGCGGATTCTGACCTTGTAGCCTGGCCAAGGTAGTAGGGGCTGGAAGAGGGAAACTGCCTCCCCTCCCAGGGGCCCCTCCTGTCTTTGGTGTCCTTTGGGCTGAAGCAAAGCTCTGCCTTGAAGAATGTGAGCAAGAATAAAAGGAAAAAATTCTCATATGTGTGCGATCCTTGCTGGGAAAGGGGTCTAGCACTTTCATGGGTGGCTGTTCAGAGCTCTTAAGTCTGGTGGCTTATCCCGGCAGCTTGGCAAGAGGACTTGAAATCAACTTGGAGGTGAAAGAATTTGTTTTCAAAAGTAGTGTCTTGCTGGGCATGGTGGTGTACACCAGTAGGATTACTGGGTAGTGATTGGGAGATTAAGGCAGGAGGATCACAAGTTCAAGGCCAACCTCAGAACCCAGTGATACCCTATCTCATCAAAAATAAAAAAGGGCTGATGATGTGGCTCAGTGGTTAAGCACCCCTGGGTTAAATCCCCAGTACCAAAAAAAGAAAGTGTTTTAGTCCTTTTTGGTTGCAATAACAAAATATCGTAGACTGTATAGATGGTTATGAATAACAGAAATCTATTTCTCATTTTGGATGCTGGAAAACCTGAGATCAGAACACCAACAGATTTTGTGTGTAGTGAGGGCCCATATCCTGGTTCACAGATATCACCTTCTAGATGTGTCTTCACATGGCAGAAAGATGAGATAGCTTCAAGGTCTCTATAAGGCCCTTAAGTCCAATCACAGGGCTGTTCCCTCATGACTTAGTCACCTCCCAAAGGCCCCACTAATGCCATCACATCCCAGGGAGGAGTTTAGCATACAAATTGCCACCACATAAACATTCAGCCCTTATGGGTCCTGTGGAGGGAGAATACTGAGTGTGCCTTGGTGCCCAGTCTTGCTTTTTTTTTTTTTTTTTTTTAAGAAAGAGTGAGAGATTTTTTTTTAATATTTATTTTTTTAGTATTTGGCGGACACAACATCTTCGTTTGTGGTGCTGAGGATCGAACCCGGGCCGCACGCATGTCAGGCGAGCGCGCTACCACTTGAGCCACATCCCCAGCCCCCCCAGTCTTGCTTTGTAATAGGAACCAACCAGTCAGGGCTCATTTCTTCCCCTAAGGCTGAGCTGCTGGGCCCTCTGGTGTTCCTCTGCTTTCCTGGATCAGTGGGGCTGCTGCATGCCCATCAGTCTTGAGAGAACTGTTTGCTGCACCTCCCTCGCCTTTCCTGAAGTCCCCAAAACGTGGGGTCAAGCAGCTGTCAAGCCAGGCATCTCAGCGTCCCTCAGGAGCTAACGTGAGGCTTGGTTCCTCTGTTACCAGATGACAAATGAGGCCTGGACACTTTCCTTCAGATATGCCAGTCACATCCTGAAGTCCTTCCTGTGAAGTTCTATTTCCTGTGGAAAGCCTCCCCTTCCAGCTGTGACATGGCATGGTGTAGGACATAGGATGGTAGTGTCTGCCTCTGGGTGGTGGGAGACTGCCTCAGCCGAGGTTTATTCAAGTTGCTTGGTTTGGGAGCTGCACTCTAGTCTTGAGCAGTTTCACTGGTGGTGGAGGTAGTTAGCAAGGAAGCAGCTGAGGGCAGAGTCTGTGCCCCCATCCTCTTCTCTATGACCTACTTCCTGGGCAGCTGTGAGGCCTATCTGAGATGGGCAGTGCTCATCTTCTACCTGGTACAAGGTAAACTGCCCAAGCAGGGGAGCTTATTGGGCCTTGCAGGGTTTCCTTCTTTCCACTAATGTCATTAAACTGAAGCAGAGAGCCTTCCCAGCTGCCTGGTGAGTCCACTGGGTCATAAGATCACCCTGGACTCTGGAGAAGGCCAGAGGAAGCTGTCTGTGAAGTGAGCTCAGTTAATTTGTTTACTTGGTTCATTTATTTATACATGATGGGGACTGAACCCAGGTGCTCTGCCACTGAGCTACACTTCAGCCCTCTTCATTTTCAGAGGGATCTCACTAAGCCACCCAGGCTGACCTCAAACTTGTGATCCTCCTGCCTCAATCACATGAGGACATGAGGACAGAACCCTCATGATCCCATCACTTCCCAAATGCCCCATCTCTCAACATCACTGCACTGGGGGCCAGGCCTTCAACATGTGAACCTTTGGGGAACATTCCAAAGGCTAAACCAGGACTTCATTTTTTGCAGTACCAGGGATGAAACCCAAAGTCTTGCGCATGCCACCTAAGCACATGCCACCTAAGCACTTTACCACTGAATTACACCCCAGTCTTTTAAAAAATTTGAGCTGTGTCCAGTGGCGCATACCTGTAATCCCAACTACTCAGAAGGCTAAGGCAGAAGGATTGCAAGTTCAAGGCCAACCTTGGCGATTTAGCAAGACCCTGTCTTAAAATAAAAAGGGCTGGCTGGGGTGGGGGTATGGGGTGAGAAGGGGGGTGATTTAGAGGTCTGTGCCTGATTTTTCAGTCCAAACAGGCCTTGCTTCAATCCAGCCTTCACCTGGAGATTTAGCTGGCCTTGAGCTTGTCTCTGAGATTTGTTGCCCCCAAGCCTGAAGGAGCTCCAGGGCACATGTGCATCTTCTCCAGGAAGGGGTGCCAGCCTGGGAGTCAAGAGGGAACTGCACCATACTTTTTACCTGTTTATTTGTAAAACAAGACCTTCAGGGTGGGGATATAGCTCAGTGGTAGAGTGCTTTCCTAGTGTGCATGAATCCCTAGGTTTGATTCCCAGTACCCACCCTGCCAAATAAAAAACAACAAAAAACAACCACAGGAGCCTTCAGACTGGTATATGTTTGTACCATTTCCATTTTTTTGACTATACTTTTCCTCTGTAATCTGAAAAATGCAGACAAAAAAATTAATTTGTTGTGGAAGCTAAGGTCACCATGGACTAAAGGCCCAGCATGTACTGAATGGCAACACTCAGGACTTTGGTGACCTACTGTAGATCCTTTCTGCACTGCTCATCTGGAGATAACAAGAGCCCAGTTAGCAGGAAGGGCAGAAACACAGACTCCCTGGCTTGCATGGATTTTGGAAGGAACTTTTCAGGTCTAGTGCACGCTAGATGGAACACCACCTCCTAGCATAGACACTGGCATCTGAGGTAAGGGTGGGTGCAGTCTGCCCCTGATATGAATGGCTAACAGGAAGTGGTAAGCAAGATTCTAATCCAGAAAACCTGGCTGCTAAACAGTACAGTAGAATCTGAGCATTTGAATTTGGCTACAACAGACATGAGAGGAATGGCAGGTGAATTTACTGCAGAGGACAGTATGGTCTTTACCTGGCGAAGTTACAGGCCCCAGTCCTGCTGGGCACCACTTATTTTTAATTCCAGCTGCTCCAAGATCAGCACATACCAGGGATAGGTAATTGCTTTGATCACTACACTTGTGGGGTTTGTTTGCCCTTGTTTTCTCAGCTGTCTGTGGGGTGGGTCACCAAAGGCTGTGTATACAGAGTCAGGCTTCCTCTTTTCCAGGAGATGGCAGGGAACCAATCATGTAAGCTGTTGGAGCTCTGAGATGGAGACATGAGGTCAGAGACTAAGTTTCAAGGGAATATCAGCTGCTTGGCAGGGGGAAGAGACTTAACTTATGGGAGCCAAGATTTCCCTCCATAAAGGGACTGAAGAAGCTGCCCAGTAGAAAAATGGGAGGTTGAAACCACTGTGTGTGAAACCCTCCCTGGCTATTGCCATCAGGGAGGGTTTCACAGACAGTGGTTTCAACCTCCCACATTTCTGCTGCCTCACTTTTCTTGGTGGGGCCCAGTGAGGAGGTCATTTTCTTCTCCTTGATCTTTGTTATATTAAATGCAAATAGGAAATAATGTTCAGTACAAGGATAAGAATATTTCAAACAGAAAAAAGAATCTTTCAATCCTCCTGGAGGGGAAGGGGACAGGACAAGTTTCTGGTTGCACTGAAGACTGCTACTCTGAGCATGCCACTGAGACATGGAAACTCCTTAACAGGATTTATTGTTAAGTTTTCACTGTGATTGGGCCCAAATGTAATACTCCACCAAAGAACTTCATGTTGAACAAGAACACCCCATCACAGATGAGAGGAGCCAGGACCTGAGTAGACAAATAGGGCTGGAGGCACAGCTCAGCCGCAGAACATTTTTTGCCCAGCATGTGAAAGGCCCCAGCCACCTGATGTGGTAAAGGACTTATGAGGAATTATCTTGACAAGATTACATGGTTATGATCTTGGTCATAACCATCATGTTGTGTACCAAGTGACCTTGGCACTCATCTCAAACCCTATGGACACAGTTAGCTGAGTGTGGCATACTGGCCACTGATACTGGGATTGTTTCTTAATTGATGGTGGATATGTTGTTTTTGAAAAACCCAGGTATATAATGTCCCCTGCTTCTTTCTGCTTTGGGGTTTTGCTACTGCCATATATCCTAACATGCTTTTTTCCTAAGTTCCTAATAAATTATACTTTGTGCAAGCCTGGATTTGTCAGCCTTTGTCTGTGGTCTTTCAGCACCTTCTGCTTTTGGTGGCTGGTTCTCATACACTGGGTTTTTCCAAAACAGGACCTTCCAGTATTTCTCCAAAGGGGAAAAATGGGGATGTAGCTTGGTGGTAGAATGCTTGCCTAGCATGTATAAAATTCTGGGTTCCACTTCCAGTCTATACAAAAACAAAAATTCTCCAAAGAATATATACAATGGCCAGTAAACACATGGAAGGATGGTCAATTCCACTGGCGAAATGCAAATCATAAGTGCAATGAGATGCCACTTCATACCCCCATCTCAATGTTGTTATCATTTTTTGTTCCAGGAATTGAACTCAGAGGTGCTTAACTACTGAGCCACATCCTCAGCCTATTATTTATTTTGAGACAGGGTCTCACTGAGTTGCTAAGGGTGGCTTTGAACTTGTGATCTTCCTGCCTCAACCTCCAGAGCCACTGGGATTAGAGGTATGTGCCACTGTGCCCAGCTCAATAAATTTTTTTGAATATTATTGTGTCTAACTTACAAACTTTATTGTAGCTATGTAGTCATATGAAAAAACAAAGTATAGGGCTGGGTTTGTAACTCAGAGGTATAGCACCTGTCTAGCATGTACAAGACCATGGGTTCCATCCCCAATACCACAAAAGTAAAACCCAAATAGTTGGGCTGGGGCTATAGCTCAGTTGGTAGAGTGCGTGCCTCACATGCACAAGGCCCTGGGTTTAATCCCCAGCACCACAAAAAACAACAACAAAAAATTCCACATAGTATATGTATATAAAATTTGGTACTACTCAAACTTTCAGTCCCCTTATCCATGGGGATTAATATAGTCAACCATAAAAAAAAAAAAAGGTACTGATCCATGTTACAATATGGATAAACCACAAAACATTATGTCAAGTGAAAGAACTCAGATGCAGGTCATACTTATCACTCTATTTATATGGAACATTAGAATTGGTAAACCCACAGAGATAATCAGTAAGGTGGGTGATTGCCAGAGTCTGGGGTAGAAAAATAACCATGAACACAGGCCACAACCCATACCTGCAGGCTGAGATGCTCTAGAAAACAAGGTCAGAAACTTGCATTTGTAGAAACCCTTGACCCTAATGCCCAGCCAAGGTGCAAAGCCAGAAGTCCCAAGTCCTGAGAAGAATATCAGTTTCTTCACTGACTGGGTAACTCACACCCCATTTCTGCTTCTCTTCTAAACTATACCCAGAGCCAAGCCAGGCATGGTGGCACACACCTGTAATCCCAGTGGCTTGGGAGGCTGAGGCCTTAAGCAACTGAGACCCTGTCTCTAAATAAAATACAAAAAGGGCTGGAGATATGGCTCAGTGGTTAAGCACCCCTGGGTTCAATTCCTGGTACAAAAAGACAAATCAGAGCCAATTTGGCTATGTATCATTCATGAGTGTTTGCGGTGGCCAACAAGGAATAAGGCCATTCCTGGCAAGTGTGGAAAATGGAAAACTAGTGCTCTGAATCTTGGGTTGGCACCTCTGCTCCAAGGGACAAAGTTGGGGGGGGGACAGAAGTTGGGATCAGTTCTTACCACATAGTGGTAGGGAGGAAAGGCTGGGCTTGTTGATGGCCACCAGGGGCAGTGGCAGGTTGAGAGCTGTTTCTGGCACCGGATGGTGCTTGTGCTGTCACTCTTAGGATTGTCACCAGATACTCTGCTGTACTGTCAGCAGTCAGAGTAAGTGGGGTTGAATTCTTTATTAAGGCACATGATATCCTGAATTCTAGATGAAGCAGAAATGAGGCTTCTGGAGAAATAATGGTAATAGGAGGGCCACTTCCTGGCATTACAACCTCCTTCCTGGAATGGCTGCAGACAGAAGCCCTGTCCATTTGGCCAGGGCTTGAGTCAGGAGTGCAGTTCCTCACTCAGGCAAAGGCAGCTCTGCAGCACATTAGGCCATAGTGGGGAACACACAGATGTCATTGGTTATGTCCTCTGCTGCCAGCTTTGCCATCCTTTGCTAGCAGTGACAGTTCTTGGAGGTCCTGGGACAGCTGCCTGACTTCTTCACAATGGCTGTGTGGATTCCTGAGTTCTGGGTAGAGGCCTATGGTCTAGCAGAGCCAGTCTTCTTGAGAGTGGTCTGACCTTTTGCTTCTTCACATAAAACCCAATTCTAAAACCCATCACTCCTGTTTCAAGGACTGTGAACAGTTAACTATTCTAGTTAACCTGGTCCCTGGTCTGAGAAAGTTGCTCTCTTACCCTGCCCTGCCCTCATCTGTTCTGAGGACAGAAAGGCCGGGTGTGTCCTGGCTGATGGCAAAGACTGCATTTCCGGGGTCTCTTTGCCGTGGACTCTGTGTCTGAGGAGCCAGCTCGGGGTCTTCTGCTCCTAGCCTCTGATCCCTGCGTTCTTCCTCTGCCTCTTGGCCAGGGTAGTGCTGCAAAAGTCCCTGTGGGAAGAGTTAATGGAAGGCTGTATTTAGAACAGACACCCTGAAGTGGCAAGAAATAGAGAGCAAGCATTGGGTTGGGGTTATCCCAACTTTTACATAGGTACACTCCATGGGTCAGACTCCCCATGCTCTATGAAGAACAGCTCCACAATGTTAAGATATGACATTGTTGGGCTGGGGCTATAGCTCAGTTGTAGAGCATTTGCCTAGCATGTGTGAGCCCCTGGGTTCAATCCTCAGAACCACATAAAGATAGATACATAAAGGTACTGTGTCCATCTACAACTGAAAAATATTAAGAAAAAAAAAAGATATGATGTTGCTTTATATTTCCTGATACCTCTCTCTAGAACCCTAAATTCAGAAGCTGGGGTATAGCTCCCTGGTAAAACACTTGCCTTGCCTATCTAAAGCACTGGGTTCCAACCTAGCACTGTGGTGGAGTGGGGGAAGTGCTCACTGTTCTAATAAGAGGGCATGAGTGTCACTTTCGTTAGGCCCTTTTTACAGAGGCAGAAACCCAGGCAAACAATGGGAAAGGAGCCTATGACCAGCAGCCTACTCCCTATCTTACCTGCAGGTCAGATGTCACTTTCTGTGGCCCTGCCCAAGTCTGAAATGTGTGCAAGGCCATCTCTTTGTAGTTACTTCAATATGAGTTTGGAAATAGGATGGCTGTCTCCAAGCCCCTCAAACGCCAGTTGTGAGTGACTCCAAGTCCTCTGCTTTTTACCCTGCCTCCTGGATTCTTCCTGATATGGTGACATGAGTTTAATCCTCATAGTCTGAATCCAATTCCACTCTTTTATCAACCAGGAACTCTATGAAAGTAGACCTGGGCCATCTTATAAAGGACCCTGTGGTGGAGTAGCTTAGTCATTTGAGGTTAAGTAGCTGGATTTGGAAATCAGATCTGTACAACTCCAAAGCTCCCACTTGGCCTTTGGGTCATTCTCAGATAGATAATTAAGAGTGGCAGTTACTATTTGAAATGCCCTCACATACACCATCCACTATGATCCAATACCTGGGCGTCAGATCTCATGATACCCATTTTCTGGGATGCTGGTATAAGCTGCATGATCCTGGGTAGGTTCCCAGACATCACCAGGGTTAATATGCTCATCTGAAGAAATGAGGCTGATGCTAATGATCTTGCTATAAGGAGAAGGGGCTTACATTCCTAACTTGGGCTGTTACAGTGTGAAGTGAAAAAAGCTACTTTATTGGTCTGGGCCTCACTTTCCTCATTGGTCAAACTGACATCATGTTTGCTGCTAAAACTGAAAGAGGCCTCCTGCAGAAAGTATATTCACCACAGTGCCGGGCACAGTGAGCTATCCAATTTGAGCTACCTTTAATTTGGAATGCAGACTGTGGTTCATCACCTTGCTGCAAGTGATGGGGCAAGGTAGCTGGGCACTCGCTATGGATCCTGCCACTACACTGCCTTGATTCCTTCTGTCTCTGAAGTGGAGACCACTGTGGAAACCCAAGCAGAAACCTGCATCCCTTACCTGCCTCCCCTGGGGCCACATTCTCATCAGTCCACTGAAAGAAGCCACATTGCTGTTCCCTTGGCTTGGCACATGTATGGAACTGGCGTCCTTTGTTGGGTCCATCCTTTTGCACAGTCCGTGTGACAGCAGGCTGGTTGCATAGGCAGGATGTGTTGCCATTGCCGCCACTGCCACTGCCACTGCCAGGTCTGCTGAACCCACCCAATGAGCCTGGTGGGTGTCCCAGTGAGCTGCCTGGGGGCCTTGAACCAGAGGTAGGAGCCTCTCCTTCTCCAAGATGGCTGCTGTCAGCCCACAGGAAGAAGTTGCAGCTGTTGCTGCTGCATTTATAGAATTGCCGGCCTCGATTGGGGCCCTCCTTTCGGACAGTGAGCAGCACAGCTTCTTGGCCGCAGTTGCAGGTAATGGAGTTGTTTTCACCTGTTGCTGCAGGTGGTGGGAGAGTCTGGATCAGAGCCTTTGAGGTTCTAGTCTGTCTGCTGGCAGGAGGCTGCGGCTGGCTGTGCTGGCTGGTGTCCATCCTGTTCAGGGACTGGCTAGCCTGCAGGTAGCCAGAGGGCTGGCTGGCAGGCTGGCTAGCTCTGGGGGGCCCCCGTGAAAATCTCAGGCCCATGATCTCCTTTAGGGTTTCATCACATCCACCAATACAGCCAACAAACTCAAGGGGCATGGTTGGGGGAAGACTGCCACGCTTGAACTTTAACTTCAACCTGTTGATGCCAGAAGATGAGAAAAAAACATTGATACCCAGGTGCCAGCATCTTCCCCTTGATCCAGAGGGTACTCTGGCCACAGGCCTTGTATCATCACCTCTCATGCCCCCAGAAGCCCATGGAAGGCACAAGTCACCTCCAGTCTTCACAGGAGTGCAGAGTGGGAAATAGTGTAGATGAAACCAAAGACCTTCAGTTAATCATCAAGTGTAAAGACACCTCTGAAAGGCTCCATTTCTCTACACCAGTGGTTCTCAAAGTATGGTTCCAGGGCCCCTAAGGGTTTACCATTTCAAGGTGAGGTGAAACAATAATAATGCTAAGAAGTTGTGTATAATTTGCTCCCATTCTTCCATGTGTGCCCACTAAGATTTTTCAGATGTGACAACACATGCAATAATTTAGCTGTGGCTGTTGTGGCAGAGATGGGAATCTAGTCTTGCAAAAATGCAAAGAATTCCCTTTTTTTTTTTTTAAGAATTTTTTTAATATTTTTTTTTTTTAGTTTTCAGCAGGCACAACATCTTTGTTTGTATGTGGTGCTGAGGATCGAACCCGGGCCGCACGCATGCCAGGCAAGCGCGCTACCGCTTGAGCCACATCCCCAGCCCAAGAATTCTCTTTATTAGTATTATTATTCCATTTCTGCTTTGGAAAGGAGGTATTTTGTCCTAAAATCACTTTTAAAATTTATGTTAGTAAGAAATTCATTTGCTGTATTTCAAAAGATTTCTCCATTTTAATTTCAAATATGGTATATGTTGAAAACATTACCCACAACAAAAGCTTTCTGGGCTCCTTAATGAGTTCCTAGAGTGTGAGGGGGTCCACTGGGCAACAGGTTTGATAAACACTGCACTAGGGCTCTGGGCTTTGTGAAGGAGCCTAGATACCTCATTTAACATGTGAATAATTTCCTGGACCTAATGCTACAGTGATGTCTGGAAAGGTGCCTCTGTGGTTGCTGAAGGATAAGGGAAAGGCTTGTCCATAGACCAGGCTTCCATCAAACCCAGCAGACCTAGGGTTTTATCACATCCATAGTCTGACTGCCTGGGCTGCTGCTGAGCACAGCTGAAGCACAGCAATGCCTGGGCAAGCATTCCCTGGATGCTTCCATTTGGGTTCCCATAGGAGGAAGGGAAAGGTAGTCCTGTGCACACTCCTTGAGAGGCATCGGACTTACCTGTATACAGGGGGTGGCTGACAAACTGAACATATACTCCCGTCTCTGCTAGCCTCCAGCACAGAGTCAGGAAACCATATAGCTGATCGACACTCTGGGAAACCCGTGCAGCTGAGGTAGAACCTGTGGAGAAATGATGGCTAGGGTCAAACCACAGGAATACAGAAAGTGTATGTGAGCTGTCACCATCTACAAGGAAACTCTTCTTCAGTTGACTTAAGAGGACCTTCACTGCCACCACACAATTAAATCAGTCAGGGTCACTCCAGGTGAACTGGGCTGGCACTAAATAATCACACAAACACTGAAAGTAACTTTTTCTTATGGTTCAGTGATGGCTCTTCTGCCCCAGCTCCCACAAGGGAGGCAAAAGAGGCAGGCAAGAGAGAGAGAGAGAGCACACTTCAAACCATCCCATTTATTGGGGGGAAAGACATTCGAGAAGATTCAACCCAAATAAGGCAAGGGATTGGGTTTCAGGGGGTTGCTTGGTAATGTTTTGCAGTCAGCAGATTTGACTGATGTCTTGGAAAGCCACACCCATCTCAGGTGCTGTGTGGGATCAAGGGCAGAGTGAGCAAAAAGGACACATACGTCGCCCAGCCCAGTCAGAGTAGCAATGTCAATCCAGTCCTCTCATGTGCTCAAATGCTCACAGCTCACATACACAGACCACGGCTGGCTCACAACACTTCATTTTTCTGAAGGACACTTAAGTGAATGCAGAGTCACTGACATGAAATGGTTTAGAAAATCAAGCTTGCCTTTGTCCCTAAAACATGAAGCAGCTATTATTGACTCTGCTTTCTATTTAAAAATCTACCACTAACCAAGGTCACACTGTATACCAAATGCCCTGTGCTGGGCAGTCCCACATTCTTGTTTCTTCCTCATGACAACCCAAAATGGTGTTCTGAGCACCTCAGTTTGCCTGTGAGTAAATGGAGACTCAGGATGATCTGGAAACCTGACCAGGGACACACATGGAGTGAGTGGGAGCCTGGTAACCCACCTGTCTCAGGAAAGAGCCTTTTCTCTCCAAAACTATACCGCTTATTTTTCCTGGACATTTCTTGATACCTTCTAGTCATGAAATTGAGGGTCTGACTCAGCACCATGCATGTGATTTACTCAATTCCTTAGAGTGTGTCTGGATGTGACCAGCAGAAAACCAACTCTAAAGTCCAGTTATTTAAATGAAAAATTCACAAACTCAGAAATGGGAATTATAGGATAAAATGTTGAGATAATCTCCAGATTTCCCTGGGTGATTCTGACAAGCATTCCACCAAGAATGCTGGGAGGGCTGGGGTTGTGGCTCAGTGGTAGAGCACTTGCCTGGTATGTGTGAGGCACTGGGTTTGATCCTCAGCACCACATAAAAATAAAGAAAGAATCCTGGTAAAAATTTTTTTCCTTTATATTTTAATGATTATGAATCCAACTACCTACTGGTGGCAAAGAAAAAACTACCAGTAGGATTTATCAAGCATTAAACTCTATGCTCAGGTGCTGGTTAAACCTTGAGTGGCACTGACCTCTGTGTTTGTGGACACACAAGCCCTGCCACCCACTTCTGGCTCTGGCCACAGGCATCTGGCTGCTGAGAGCCAGGGTGCCTTTCTTGTCACTAGGCTAGCCAGGTCTTTGGCTGCTGGGCTGGGAAGGGTCAGGGGAAACCACCTTCCTCATTCACACAGTGCTACAGACCCAGGTGAGCAGGGCAGAGTGAAGAAAGGAAGTGGGGAACTGGGATCAAATTCTGCCTTTAGTACTCACTATAGCTACCCTACTCAGAACCAACCCCTCAGCTGGCTGAAGTTCTAGAGTTTGTGCTCTTTAAAACATCTGCTTTGTGGGCCTTTATGAAGACTCAATGAGATGATGTCTGCAGAGCACCCTGTATCACATCAGGCAGAGGGACGGTGCAAGGCAAAGCATGACTGCCTGTTTTTCACTTCTTTCACCATGAACTTCCTGCAGTGGCCAGCTGCTGGCTTGGGAAAATGGGCCAGACTGGGCAACTAAACCCACTCTGATCAACTACATTGAAATAAAAAGGGAGCTGAGGTTTTAGGCCCAATTCAGAACTAAAATTAGGCAAGAAGAGAGCTGGGGTTGTGGCTCAGTGGTAGGGCATGTGTGAGGCACTAGGTTCAAGCCTCAGCACCACATAAAAAAATAAATAAAAATAAGGTATGATGTCCATCTACAAACTAAAACAAAACAAAACAACAACTACACAAGAGAAACTATTTATTCAGCATCTACCATGCATTGGATAACATGTCTTCACTCTTTTCAAATCCTCACAATAACTCAGCTTTGTTAAATAGGTATTACTGTTCTTATTTTATGGAAAAACAAATTAGGAATCAAAGCAGTCAAATAACTTGCTTTGGGTTATACAGATTATATATGACAGAAGTGAGACTTGAACTGAGACCCATCTGGATGTGAAGTTCATGTTCCACCATTCGCCAGACTTTGGGTAAATAATGTCTTATTTATAGGGACCAACTACTCTGACTTCCTACAGTACTTCACACCCCACATCACACCCTGCTATCCCGCTAGGTATAACACCTTGCCCAGAGTCTGCCAATAACAGGTCTGTCTTTAAATAATGACAAAGGCATGAACTGACAGGGCCTTTTGGTACTAGAGGGCTAACACAGCAGGTGCTGCGCAAGCAGAGGTGAAAGCAAAAGTTGGCACTAACCCGCCACTCTTCTTGGTCTTGAGGACCATGTCCCTGTTGCACTGTGGGCACTTCTGGATGGGCTCTGGCATGGTGGGGTAGATCTCTTCTTGCTGGGCCACTTCTGCCCCTTCCCCAAAGTATTGGGACAAGGCCTCGTCCAATCTGAAGAAAAGGCAAACACATACAGTGGCCATCAATCAATGCAAAGAAATTTACAACACTCTTATATGTCAAGAACATATATATGTGAGGAGCTGGGGTTGTAGCTCAGTGATTGAGCGCTTGCCTCGCATACGTGAGGCACTGGGTTCGATCCTTAACACCACCAAAATAAATAAATAAAAATAAAATGAAGATATTGTGTCCATCTACAACTAAAAAATAAAAATTATAAATAAACAAATTAATTAAAGAACATATATGAGCCTGGAACCGGCTGGTCAGGACCACAGGCCTGAGCAGCAGGCAGAGAGGGGACTGAGCTCTCCACCGGCCTGGCTCATGACTCCAGGAAGGATCTCAGCAGACACATGAAAAAAACTATACTGAGTCCAAACACAAACACCAGAAATATCTGTCTGCAATTAATGCTAATTTGTGCATCTCTTTTCAAAACTGGTATGAGAGTGATATGAAGGATTAAAAAAAATTCCAAAATTGTTATGCCTACCATACATGCAAAAGGCGTGTGGTAGTAGTATTTCCCACATACACCAATTGTCCAGCAGACACCACTGGGCATCCTCTAATTGAATTCAATTCTGGCACTATCTCCTCGGAGTTAGTGTCAGACTCTCAAGGTTGATGGCTCAGTCTCCAGGACTGTCCCAACTTGAGATGCCAGCTGCAAATTCCAGGTTGTGAACTATGCTTCTGACCAACTGGCTATAAACTGGGCTTCCCATGACCCACTCCTCAAGTTTAATTTTTTACATCAGCTTACAGAACTCAGATGAATAGCCATGTGGAAGAGATGCATAGGGTAAGGCATGTGGGAAGGGGGAAGGGGGTAGAACATCTATACTTTCTCTAGGTACGCCATCCTCTCCCACATTTAGCTACTGTAAGCTCTTGGAGGCCCATGTGTGTGCATGTATGTTTTGTGGTATTGGGGTTCAAACCCAGGACCTGAAGCATAGTAGGCAAATACTCAATAAATGAACTATGACCCCAGCTCTGCTTCTAGGTTTTTATGGAGGTTTCCTTACTTAGGCAAGATTGATAAATCATTTGCCACTGGTGATCAACTCAACCCTCAACTCCTTTTCTCTTTTCTGCAAATGTATGTACGGTGGGGTGGAGCTCAAAGTTCCAATTCTCCAACATTTGGTTCCCTGACAACCAGCCTCCATCTTGTAGCTCATCAATACACACCCTCCCATCACTCATCTGATTAGCAAACAAAGACATATCATTTTGGAGATTTTAAAAAAACAAAATTTTAAATATATATATACATACACACACAATTATATATTAATAGTTATGTGTTGTATATAATTATATATTATATAAAATTATATATATTTTATATAAATTATATCATCAAAGGTAGAAACATGTTATTTCTTTTTTGTTTTGAAAACATGTTAATTCTTTTTTTGTTGTTTTTGTTTTTATGGTGCTGGGGATTAAATCCAAGGCCTTGTGCATGGGAGGCAAGTACTCTACCCACTGAGCTATATCCCCATCCCCTTAATTCTTTTTTTTTGTACCAGGAATTGAACTCAGGGGCACTTGTCCACTGAGCCACATCCCCAGTCCTATTTTGTATTTTATTTAGAGATAGGGCACCTCACTTTTGCTAAGGCTGGCTTTGAACTCAAGATCCTCCCATCTCAGCCTCTAATGTGGCTGGGATTATAGGCGTATGCCACTGTTCCTGGCTGGAAAACATGTTATTTCTAACAAAACACACATGCTGCTTACTGAGTGGCTACCTTCAAATGCTCCTCAGGAAAAAAATGGGTCATACACTAGCTCTTGGATTTTCTGATTTGAAAGATGGTGCTACCTAATTCAAGATTTAACATCAAGCTGGGTGCAGTGTTGCATGCCTATAATCCCAGCAACTCAGGAGGCTGAGGCAAGAGGATGGCATGTTTGAAGCCAGTCTCAGCAACTTAATTAGACCCTGTATGAGGAGGAGGAGGAGGAGGAGGAGGAGGCGGCGGCTCCTCAGTGGTAAAGTACCCGTGGGTTCAATCCCCAGTATTCCCCTCCCCTCAAAAAATTTAATATCAAGATAATGGCATTTCTAAACCAACAGTCCAGAATAATTGTTTTCTATATTGACAAAACTCTATAGAAAGGAATAAACTAAACCCAGAGGAGGAAAACAAAACGGGTAGAGGGCTGGGGATGTGGCTCAAGCGGTAGCGCGCACGCCTGGCGTGCATGCAGCCCGGGTTCGATCCTCAGCACCACAAAGAAAGATGTTGTGTCCGCCAATAACTGAAAAATAAATATTAAAATTCTCTCTCTCTCCCTCTCTCCCTTAAAAAAAAAAAAAAAAAAAAAAGGGGTAGAGCCTATATAGTCACTTCCACTCTTCCATAGGTGAAAAGGCCACTGGTGAAGATGAACCATGGTTAGCATGCCAAAAAGCAAGGGTCAGGAGTAACTATATCATCTTGTTTCTGCTGAACTGTCTATGAACTTCCACTTCTCAGAGGTAGATGGTATGGCCATGGTTTGGGAGCTATAGGACCTTTTGGGCTGGAAGGCAGGGTCTGTACTCACTTCTTTGCCTTAGCCACTGCTTCAATGAAAACCTGCTTGTATTTCTGCACCTGCTGCCTTAGAACCACAAATTTGTCCTTCTTTCCCTCACAGATCAGCTTCAGATCAGCTTCCAGCTCGGCCCGGAGGTCTGGCTTGGACATTTCATAGCCCATAGAATCGTAACCTGTGGGAAAGAGCAGTACTCTGTGAGGTCCTGTAAGACAGGCAACCGCAGGGATTTGGGCAATGTGGTCCCCCTCCTACTCACTGCAAGCTTCCTTCTCTCTTACCTTCCACAAGTCCCATGCCCAGGTGCCCTGGGAGAAACCGCTTGTCTGAGGTGAGCCCAACATACATCCGAGCTTTGATGGTCTCGATGTGCTCTGCGTGAGTTGCATCAGTACCTGGAAGCCATTTCAGTTACTCAGAGACATTAGAGACAATTGCATAGTGTCTGTGGGAACCTCAATCACCCTGGGATCCATTATATACATGGATGGCCTATGCAGGTAAGATAGCTCCATTCATATCTGGCTTACACTAGAAATCACAGTGGAACATTGCTCTCCTGCTCCCTTCCATCCCATCATTCATCAAAGCTGCCAACTCCAGCTTCACAACTTTTAAATTTTGGTACTAAGGATTGGATCCAGGGCATCACATATGTTAGTCAAGCGCTCTACCACTGAGTTACACCCCCAGCCCTTTTTAAGTTTTATTTTTAAATGGTCTTGCTAAGTTGCTGAGGTTYGTTTTGAACCTGTGAGTCTCCTATTGGGATTACAGGTATGTGCTACTGCATCTTGTTACAACTACTCCTTTAATTTCTACTCTTCCTGGGTCAGGATCACGGCTACAATACTGCAACACTGTCATCTCCCTATTTTTAGTCTCTCCTCTAACCTTTACCCAACCCATTCTAAGCTGTGGCCAAAGGGCTCTTTTAAAATGTAGCTCTGGTCACGAACACCTGTAATCCCAGTGACTCAAGAGGCTGAGACAAGAGGATCCCAATAGTGATACCCTGTCTCAAAATAAAACAGAAACAAAAAGGGCTGGTGATGTAGCTCAATGATAAAGCCTCTGGGTTCAATCCCCAGTACCAACCAACCAATCAACCAACAAAAACATAGCTCTGCTAATAGGGAAATAATAAAACCTCGGTGAAATACCACTTCATACTCCTTAACTACAGCATAATCAGAAAGACAGATAGCAAGTGTTGGCAAGGATATGAAGAAACTGGAACCCTCATGCACTGCTGGTGGGAATGTAAAATGGTGCAACCATTTCAGAAAATAGTTTGGTGGTTCCTCAAAAAGTGGTGCAGCAATCTCACTCTTAGTTGTATACCCAAGAAAATGGAAAACAAAAACTTGTAATGTGACTATCTGTAACATAGTTCATAACAGCAGAACAGTTTTAAGAACCCAAGTGTCTTATCAATTGACAGATAAATACGGTCTATCTATACAATGGAGTAATAAAAAAGACAAAAGTTCTGACATGCTACAACACACACGAACCTTGAGGATATAAATAAGTTTGTTACAAAAGGCCACACATTGTATGACTCCACTTACATGAAAGGTCTAAAATAGGCAAACTTATTTTTATTTATTTATTTATTTATTTTTATTTTCTAGTTCTCGGCGGACACAACATCTTTGTTGGTATGTGGTGCTGAGGATCGAACCCGGGCCGCACGCATGCGAGGCGAGCGCACTGCCGCTTGAGCCACATCCCCAGCCCAAAAAATAGGCAAACTTATTGAGTCAAAAAGATTAGGGATTGCCTAGGGATGGGGGGAGCTAGAAGGAAGGAGGAATAGGGAGTGACTGCTAAAGAAAATGGGTTTCTTTTTGAGGAGATGAAATGTTTTAACCTGTAGTGATAGCTGTACTACATTGTGAATATACTAAAACACTGAGTTTCACATTTTATATTTGCAGTGCTGGGGATCAAACCCAGAGCCTCACACATGCTAGGTAAGTATTCTATCACTGAGCTACACCCCCAGCACTGAGCTGTACATTTTAAATGGGAGAAATTATATAATATATAAATTATGTCTCAATAAACCTCTTAAAATTATGTGCTAAGATCTTGAGTCTATGTGGTTCCCTTATTTAGAAATCTTAGCTGCTCACCATGTGCTAAAATTCAAGACCCTCAGCTGGGCACACAGGGCCTGGCAAAATTGGCTCAAATCATTCTTCATTCTCATCTCCTCCAACCTCTCACCTTACATACTCCCAGCCATAGCAGGCATGAGTTTTCCTGTCCTTCCTCAGGCTTTGCCTAGGCTGGATTTGCCTTCATTAGTGAGGAAGTGTCACTATGTGGTTTTCTGATCCAGCTCAAATGCTAGCCCCCTTTCCCTGCCTGCCCCTGTAGAACCCGTCACATTTTGCTGGATTTGGTTTATTTTCTGGTAGACTATTTTTTTAAAAATATTTTTTAGTTGTCAATGGATCTTTTTATTTTTTTATTTATATGTGGTGCTTACACATGACAGGCAAGTGCTCTACCACTGAGCCACAACTCCAGCCCCACACTGAATTCTTAAAAGGGAAAGATTAGGTTTTAATTTTCTTTGTGTCTCTAGTGCCTGCCACTCACACTAGTTTCAGGGTGATGGCTGCCAGGTCTGATATTTCAAAGAACGAAGATATAGATTTTGAGGATGAACTTATCATTTTAATTGTTGATAACTTATTTGCTGTTCTTAACCAAAAAAACTCCAAATCCCCACGTAGGCTAATGGGTGCTCCCTGATCAGCCTTGAGCCATGGGAAACATCTAGATCACTACACATGTGGTGCAGTGTAGGGTTTTTAAAAGCAATGGCTGAAGGGTAGGGATGTGTCTCTAGTAGAGCCCTTGCCTAGTATGCAAGAGGCTGTGGGTTCTAACTCTAGCACTGCAAAACAATCAAACTAAACTAAAATTCATTAAAAGCACATTGGCTGTGGAATTTGGTGACCTTAGGAACATCAATAATCTCTCTAGGCCTAGCTTTAACTATTAAATGGGGATATAGAGGTAGCACCTGTGCTGAGTAGACTTGGAGCTGCATATACAGTAAGTGCCTGAGAGCTACAAGTCCCCAGGTGAGTTACTGACCAATGCCATGCTTCTCCATGAGGGCGATGAGGTCAGCCTCAGTGAGCAGTTGTGGTGGGCTGGTCTCCCCATCCACCATTTCCACAGTGCTGGGCTGGAAGCGAGAGCCTTGCTCATAGACAGGGAGGAGCTAGAGAGAGCAGCAGGCACAGAGATCAGATCACACATACTCAGTCTGGTCCTGCTCTATCAACCAGCATAGGTCTGGAGTTTGACTGTCCTCCCTCTCCCTGGAGCCCACCTCCTTATCACCTTGTCACTCCAGTGATCATAGGGATACACATCCAGATAGTTTCGGGCCAGAATCATGAGACCATGGGCCACAAAGCGTTCCTGAGCAATGTCAATCTCCACAGTAGTCTCTTGCCCCTGAGCATCTTGGGAACAGCAGGCTAGAAAATGACGGACGATGAACTCATATAGTCGCCGTTCATCTCCCTGAAGAAAAAGAAGAATCTCTCGAGAACCAGTACCTCAAGGATAGCATCATCATCAATAATTTCAACCTGGTTTATGCCACTGTCAGCCATACGCTCTTCAGGCCCTACACCAATGTGAGGCTAGGCAGGTCCTTGGGGGAACTGATGGTTTTTGGCTGATAAACCTCACAACCCTATCAGGCAAAAGGCAAGCAAGGGTAGTCATTATTTCTCCAGGCCCAGGATGGGGATTTCTGATGTAGATTCAACAGAAACAAAAATAAGACAAAAGCCTAGGAAATTAATAAGGGTTTCCCTGAAGATAAGAATCACAGAGTAACACTACAGTTGACTGCTCGAGGCCAGCTTCATGCTTCCTTTCAAGCAATGGTTTGTTGGGGTGAATTTGCATCAGTCAGGTAAGCAAGGAACTTGCTAAGTTCCTAGTGAGGCTAAATCTCAGGTTACATACAAATACTCATGAGATATTTGTATTTGTATGTAACAATTCACCTTCTAAGAATTCATTCAGAGGAGTCAGGCATGGTGGTACACATAGTGACTTGGGGGCTAAGGAGGAAGATCTCAATTCATGCCAGCCTCAGTAACTCAGTGAGACCCTATCTCAAAATAAAATTTAAAAAGGGGGCTGTGGAGATATAAATCAGTGGTAAAGCACCCCTGGGTTCAATATTTTGTACCTGCCCCCCAAAATTCATTCATCCTTTCATAAGGAAATAATTGAGATCCACACAAATATTTATGTATAAATATCAAAAAGTTAAAAACTTAAAATCTTTTTTAATTTTTTTTTTAAGTCGTAGATGAACATAATACCTTTATTTTATTTATTTATTTTTAAGTTGTGCTGAGGATTGAATCCAGTGCTTCACATGTGTGAGGCAAGCGCTCTGCCACTGAGCTACAACCCTGAGCCTGGAAACTTAAATCTTACATTCAGATTTGGCAAAATAAATTATGGGTCATTTGTGTAATACCTATCTATCTATATCTATCTACCTACCTATCTATCTATGTACTTATTCTGGGTATTGAACCTAGAACCTTGCAAATTCTAGGCAAGTACTCTACCACTTACTACATCTCCAGTGTTTTATTTTTTTGTACTGGGGACTGAGCTCAAGGTGTGAAACCACAGAGCCACATCCCCAGTCCTTTATTTGAGATAGGGTCTCACGTAAGTTGTTAAGGGCCTTGCTAAGTTCCTGAGATTTGCCTCTCAACATATGTTCCTCCAGTCTCAGCCTCCTGAGTAGCTGAGATTATAGGTGTGTGCCACTGTGCCTGGACCCAGCCATTTTCAATTTTATTTTGAGACAGGGTCTCCCTAAATTGCTCAGGTTGACTTCAAACTTTCAATCCTCCTGCCTGTCTTCTCAGTAGATAGATTACGGTGTGTGCCACCATGTCCAGCTTATATATTACACTTTAAATACTGTAGCATATGAGGAATGCTCATAATATAGTACTGAAATTTTTAAAAAATATTTTTGTAGTAGATGGACACAATACCTTTAATTTTATTATTTTTATGTGGTGCTGAGGATCAAATCCAGTGCCTCACGTGTGCTAGGCAAGCACTCTACCAACTGAGCTACAACCCCAGCCCCTAAGAAGTTTTTATAAAGCTATATGAGATTATACTTTTATTATTATATTATATATATGTATTGAAAAATCAGGTTCTGAGTAGAGGGCAGGATTATAGATAATTCTTTTTTTCTTTCTTATCTTCTGTGTTTGCTAAAGTGTCTAAAATAAACATGTGGTACTTTTATTTTGTGGTGCTAGGGATTATACTCAGGGCTTTGCAAAGGTACTTTTTAAATTGGAAAGAATATGCATTATTAAAAAAAGAACAGGTAGGGGTTGGGGTTGTGGCTTAGTGGTAGAGCACTTGTCCAGCATGTGTGAGGCCCTGGGCTTGATCCTCAGCACCACATATAAATAAATAAATAAATAAAATAAAGGTACTGTTCAACTACAACTAAAAAATAAATATTAAAAGAAAGAGGGACTGGGGTTGTGGCTCAGTGGTAGCGTGCTTGCTTAGCATGCATGAGGCACTGGGCTCGATCTTTAGCACCACATAAAAATAAAGACAATAAAGTCCATCAACAACTAAAAATATATTTAAAAAAAAAGAAAGAAAGAAAGAAAGAAAGAAAAAAGACCAGCCAGGTATGGTGGTGCACATGTATATACTAGCAACTCAGGAGGCTGAGGCATGGGGATTATAAGTTCAAGACCAGACTGGGTAGCTTAGCAAGACCCTGTCTCAAAATATAAAATTAAAAGGAGAGGGGAGGACCTCAGCAGCAGAGCATTTGCCTGGTAGGCATGAGGTCCTGGTTTCAACCCCCAGTACGGCCAAAACAAAGAATGAAAAAATACAAAGTTTACTTAGTGGCAGATGCCAAATAATCCTTCATAGTTGTTGCCTGCATAGTGATTACTCCCCAGCTGAGGAAATGACTGAATCCCTGAATGGCTGAGCAGAGAGAGGTTGAGTGTGAAATGTTGGAGAGACTGCAGTAAGCAGTGGTAGGAAAGGTTCTGAAAGGCTGTGGAAACAGGTCCAGTCTTGGAAGATGGTTAAGGCTTTTTCTAGGTAATAAGGGACCAGCAAGGTCAGGAGACTAGTAGGGGTATGGAGGCTATGCCAGGGCATGGGGAAAGGTAGGTTGCCATATATGCGTCCATATGAGGGACTAGTGAAAAAGCAACAGAGCTGATGGAGAATGGAGCCTACCATAGGGGGGCCAGTGGGGTGGGGGGTGGTCTTTTGTGAAAGCCAGGAACAAGACTGTGTCTAACACTGCCTTCTCTTTTTTGAAATGAAATAGATAGTTCAACATCACTTATTTTCCAAAGTCAGAGCCTGGAGAACAAATTTGAATCATACTTTGATCCTCAGCACCTGTCTCTGAGTTTCAGTAGGTTGCACACTCAGGGAAACAAACCTGCAAGTTGCTAGTGTACTTGGTGGGATGGATGGGAGGGTGAGCTTGATCAGACTTGTTTCCATTGCGTGGGGTGGGGCCACCCCGCTCGAGAATGCTCTGGGCAAAGGCCCCCCAGTGTGGATCTGGGGTCTGCTGTTCCACCAGTGCCATCAAGTTTAGGTCTTTGGGGAAAATATTTGTTTCTGTTCGGGGATAGCTGATGTACCTAAAAGAAAAGTAAACAAATGAAAAAGAAATTACTAAACTCTTCAATGGTCTGTAACAACTCCAAGTCCCAGAACACACCTGCAATCACTGATCTAATACAGCCAGTTCAACTGGAGAGCACTTAGGTGACCTATGCTGAACAAAGGTCAGAGGTGGGATCCCCATTCAGGGTGGAAAAGCAGTAATCTTTCTTGCTGAATCATTTTGAGAAGCCAAAGGAGACTCGAAAGGGACAACATAAGGCAGGATAAAGGCCCAAGACTCTGCAACAGCCTTATGGCCTGGGGGACTTCACTGGCCTCTTAGGGCTGGTCAGTCTGACCAAAACAAAAAGGGATTTCAATTTATTTTTTGGTTCTTATATTAAAATGCTTTTTCTGTCAGAGTGATATCTAAACAGTATGTTATAAGCTATATTTCTAAAATATTCCATGTTGATAAAGATGCACCAAATTCTATTGTCAAATATAGAATATTTACCCTTGAGTGTAGAGCTTTTCAGCAATCCTCATGGTTTCCTTAGCATTTATTTTCAACTTGCGAGAAGCCAGCTTCTCCAGCTCCTGTTAAGAGGATCAATAGGCACGTTAAGGTATATGTGTGTCAGGAACTGCCATGACTGCATGTTTCATCTTTAGGCAGGTCTGGCTCCTGCAACTCCAGCTATTGCCATCACGCTGAGAGAGAAAGACTGTGCCCAAAGAAGATTTCTGAGACTTCCAGGCAGATCCCAGGTAGTAGTTCTCTGATGTGTGATAATGAGACTTTCCAGGGGAGGTAGAAGATTCAAAGGCCTAACCACCAGGAAATGTGATAAAAGTAGGCTGTGATAGAGGCTGAAATCTGCATTTTTAACCAACAGTCTAACAAACTGTTGCTAATGTATAGCAGTCTGAGAATCATACTTTGGAAACTACAATTTGAGGGGCTGGGGATGTGGCTCAAGCGGTAGCGCACTCGCCTGGCATGCGTGCAGCCCGGGTTCGATCCTCAGCACCACATACAAAGATGTTGTGTCCGCCGAAAACTTAAAAATAAATATTAAAAAATTCTCTCTCTCTCTCTCTCTCTCTTAAAAAAAAAATACTTTCTCTCTTAAAAAAAAAAAAAAAAAAAAAGAAAGAAACTACCATTTGAGTCCCAGGAAATTGTCCTGGAGGATAAAAAGCATCCTTTAATGCCTCCTTGGGAATAACCAGCTGTTCTTTTCCCTATGTGATACCCTGACAATGCTGCTGCTAAGTCAAAGCACATATAAACAGCCAGGAATAAAACACATACTGAGTATAGCTCAGTGGTAGAGTGCTTGCCTAGCAAATGCTTGTCTTGTGTGGAAAAATAAACAAAACCCCCAAACAAGCTACCCCATTATAACGCTATAAAAATATACACATAAAGAATAAGAAGAGCAAGGTATGGTGGGGCACACCTGTAATCCCAGTGGCTCTGGAGGTTGAGGCAGGAGGATCACAAGTTCAAAGCCAGCCTCAGCAATTCAGTGAGGCCCTATCTCAAAATAAAAAATAAAAAGTGGCTGGGTATGTGGCTCAGTGTTTTATCACCCCTGGTTCAATCCCTAGTGCTAAAAACCACCACAACAAGAGAAGACATCAAAATTATGTCACTGACTACATAAGGATGGCAAGAGTATGGGTCATTTGTCATTTTCTTTCTGTTTCTCCAAACTCATATAATGGAGTTATACTGTATTTATTAACTTTAAAAACAAAAAGCCCAGGTGAAGAAAGCCCATGTCTTCCCCAAGTGATCTTCCTTCCACTGCCCATGCAGAATCTCAGTCCCAACAATATAAAATGACTGTTCTCCAGTGCCTGGAATAGTCTGTCTGTAACATACCACAGTGTCCAATGCTTGAGGCCTCCACTTGCTCTTTGGCTTAGACCTGATCTCCACCACAGTTGCCAGGGGATCCTAGAAAGCCAGGAGAACAAAGACCATATTAACCTAGAGGTGTGTCACCTGCAGCCTATTTGTGACAGCCCCTTCCTACCATTCCAGATCATGGTGACTGCCAGCAGAGGGCTCAGCCACAGCTTAAGAGACACCTCCATTTAATGTCAATCATATTTGACAGTGTGGTGGACACCATCATCCACTTCCTACTCAAACCAAGATTCTGAACAGCAATTTTATAAGCCTTAAGGTGCCTACTTCAAAGATGACAAAATACCAGTCTATTCATCTCCCAAGTTCAGTTTTATACCTACCTATGCACAATATTACTTTTTTAAAAAAAATTCAGGATAATATAGAATTAGAAATAGGAAAACCAGACAATAGAAGCAATAAAATGAAAAACCAAATTCACATTTCCAACAGAATATAAAATATAAGGAACTCAGCTGAAGTGATTTGCTAATGAAGATATTTATATATCACAACCCAAGTTTCTTCCTCCCAATAGACTGGGGACAGCTGCTCTTTTTAAGGGGCTCAAAGTATACCACATGTCAAGTATTTCTGCACAACATTTTATGAAGGTGCAACAGACATACTGGGATCCAATCTAATGGCTAGTGCTCTGCCATTCAATAAATATAGTGTGTCCATGAGCAACTCACTTCAATTTCTCTAGCTTCCTTCTCTGTAAAACTGGGATCACATAACTATTTTCACAATATTATTAGGATTGAGCAAAATAACATTTAATGAAGTGGTACATTCAAGTGCTTAATAGTTATCATTCCCTTTATCAAAGTATTAATAAACCTGCCAGAAGCATACCACAAATTATTAAACATAGATATATCTGCATTTCACTTAGGCATCACTGTGTGCAGGCTGTGGGTTAAACTGTGCAAAAAGGTGCTGACCTATGGGAAGTGACATCGAATAGTGGACAATACTTCTGAGGAGCAGGAATGTGAAACTGGGGTCTCAGTTCTATCATGACTGGCATGGGACATGAGTTGGTTGTGATACTTTGCAAGTGCTCCTTTTCTTATGAGATACATTTTTCCTGTTCAAATGTCACTTCTTAGAGAGGCCTTTCAAGATCATTTCATCTAGAATAGTCCCTGCCAACCATATGTGTCAGGGAGGGATTTTAGTTGTATACATCTCAAAATTTCTAATTTTTTTTTTTTTTTTTTGGTACTGGGAATTGAACTCAAGGGCACTCAACCACTGAGCCACATCCCCAGCACTATTTTTTTTTTTTTGTATTTTATTTAGAAACAGGGTCTCACTGAGTTGCTTAGCGCCTTGCTTTTGCTAAGGTTGGCTTTAAACCTGCAATCCTCTTGTCTCAGCTTCCCGAGCGGCTAGGATTACAGGCATGTACTATGGTGCCCGGCCCTCAAAATTTCTAATTTTATCTAAAAGTTCTGCAGATATTCCCCTTGTACATTTTTAGTGCTATTTCCTGGGGTTCTGGTCTTGCTGGCTTCCAAAAAGTGATGATGCCCGGAGATGCGAACTTAAAGCCAATACAATTCAGGGGAAGAATGGAACAGGTTCACTGCTGCCAACAGGAGGGTATGGTTGAGGAAGTGTGCAGAATGTTTCTTAGATCATTAAACTCTCATGGGACTCCTTACCTCCATACATAATTGATAGAGGACAAGACAAGCTGTGTGATTAAACAGACGATGTCTTTTCCAGTTGAATTCTACGGTACCATCTTTGTGATCATGAGTTACTATTTGGAAGATAAATAGAAAGGCTGTCTCAGAGAAAGCATGGTGATATGACAGACAGAAAAAGGTTTATCACAGTACAAATCAAAGGAAGATAAAATAGGGAAGAGTTCTGCAATTCACAATAGCTAAACTGTGGAACCACCCTAGATGCCCTTCAATAGATGAATGGATTAAAAATGTGGCATTTATAAAATGGCATTTGCAGGTAAATGGATGGAGTTAGAGAAGATAATGCTAACTGAAGTTAGCCAATCTCCAAAAAAACAAACGCTGAATGTTTCTCTAAGGAGGCTGACTCATAGTGGAGTAGGGAGGGGGAGCATGGGAAGAACAGATGAACTCTAGATAGGGCAGAGGAGTGGGAGGGCAAGGGAGGGGCCAAGGGGTTAGAAATGATGGTGGAATGTGATGGATATTGTTATCCAAAGTACATGTATGAAGACATGAATTGATGTGAATATTCATTGTATATAGCCAGAGATATAAAAAATTATGCTCTATATGTGTAATAAGAATTGTAATGCATTCTGCTGTCATATATTAATAAAAAATTAACTAAAAAATAAAATAAAATAAATAAGGAAGAGTTCTGGATAACTAAGGAAACCAGTGGATTCTGAATACTGAAATGGGGCAAGGTGAAGGGCAGCAAGGCTTAAAAAACAAACCCTCCCACTTAATTAATGTTATTAGCACTTTCTTGTTATCCCTGGGCTTGTAGGTTTCATACTATAAACAATAACTGCCCAACTTTACCTTTAATCCTGTGGAAGATTTCTGGCACAAAAGCCTGAATGGCTTTGAACCTTTCTACCACGAACCCCAGTGTCGGGAACTGGCAGCTGCCATAGCTAATGAGCTGCTCTGCCAGCACCTCAGGAAAAATCTTCTGAAGCCGCAGGGTCTGGAATCTAGTGAAGGCAGCTCCTGGACAGTGAGAGCAGATGGGATGAAAGAGGAAGTGATGGATGATGAGATAATTTTGGATCTATGACCCAATACTAGTGTGCCTCAACATGGAAGAGTCCATGGCTCCTCACCGATCCTTAGGTCCAGCTCCTGCCTCACATCCACAGCATCACTGATTCTTTGATCAGGCTCAGTCAGGTTTTCACAGGCTGTCCTGACAGCACGTGGCGTGATCTCAGAAAAACGGGCTCTCAACACTTGTAGACCAGGCTTCACTGCACAACACAAGGGTCACCAAGGTCAAAATCAAATTACACTGCACTCATTGCAAAGGGCTCACTTTTCCTAAACCACTTTCTTGAAAGGCAAACCTGTTCAAGAAGTTGTAAGGAGTCCACTTCATATATTAGTTTATATTAGTAAGAGGGAATTCAAAGTCAAAGAGGGAAACATGCTAGGTAGGTGTGGTTGGGCAGGCCTATCACCCCAGTGACTTCGGAGGCTGAGGCAGGAGGATTGGGAGTTCAAAGTCAGCCTCAGCAACTTAGCAAGACCCTGTCCCAAAGGGTTGGGGATGTGGTTCAGTGGTTAAATGCACCTGGGTTCAATCCCTGCCCCCTCCCCAACAGAAAAGGGAAAAACATCATTATAACCTGTAACTGGAGTACTGCCAGAAAAAAGAGCACGGTCAATTTTAACTAAAATTCTCTAGGTGGGGCTTTTAAGACTTTACTTTTACTTGCTCTTTAGGTCTGTAGAGAAAAGAAAAACACTGTCAATCAAAGGGTCCTGTGGGGGGAATTTCAAGTCCCTTCAGAAAAGAACATAGGAAATATACTTTGTCCCTTGAAAGTTAATGTATTTAAATTTCCAGAAGCCACCAGAGCTTTTTTTTTTTTTTTTTTTGGTATTGGGGATTGAACCCAGGGGCCCTTAACCACTAAGCCACATCCCCAGCCCTTTTTTATATTTTATTTAGAGACAGGGTCTTGCTGGATTCATAAATGCCTCACTAATCTGATGAGGCTGGCTTTGAACTAGTGATCTTCAGCCTCCCAAGTTACCGGGATTATAGGTGTGTGCCACTCCATCAGAGCTTTTGACACAAAATCACTTAGGGAAAGTAGCAACCTCAACCTCTGAGCCACAAAATGAGAATGAGTTGCTCAACACTTCCTCTAAGTGGAAATATTAACTCTGTTACAGCCATTCAAAACATGCCAACATTCACCCATTCATTCATTCATATGCTGGGGATGGAATACCATACAGTAGGCAAGTGCTCTACCATTGAGCCACATTCCAATCCAACAATGAATACTCAGGCTTTGTACAAAGAATATGGGAGATTACAAAAGCAGAATGTTTTTAGGATTTCTTTGTATTTTACTTATGGTAAATGCATTCTTTGGCACAAATTCAATATACAATTTTAAGAAATACAAGCCTGTAATCCTAGAACCTTAGAGGCTGAGGCAGGAGGTTCGTGAGTTAAAAGCCAGCCTCAGCAAAAGTGAGGTACTAAGCAGCTCAGTGAGATCCTGTCTCTAAATAAAATACAATAGGGCTAGGGATGTGGCTCAGTGGTCAAGTACCCCTGAGTTCAATCCCCGGTATACACACACACACACACACACACACACACAAAAGGAATACAATACACTATTTGCTGACTCATTCTTACAGCAGTCCTAGGAAGCATGTCAGAGTGCCCTGACACTGCATATGACGAAGCTGAAGATTCAGTGACTTGCTCAAGGAATACAGCTGGTGTAATTCCCATTGCTTTGGGAGGAGAAAATATATGCAAAAGAATATGGCCCACTTGTATGGAGATATAGAAGAATTCTCTATTTGGGAGTCCCCCAGCAGAGAACCTCAATAGCAGCAGACTTACCAGCCTTGCACACATGGATAATCTCAAATCCAATGTTTTCACCTTCTCTGTCACAGTCAGTCCAGATCACTAAGGCCTGACACTGCCGCGTTTCTCGTTCTAGAGTTTTCTAAAGTTAACAGGGGGAAAGAGCAGTAAGAGCAGAATCTAGAGCAATTACTTGATACTTCTACACTAAAGAGAACTGACTGAGGATCAGTGCTGTTCTTGGGAGTGTGCCACCCTTTATGAGTGGTCACAGAAAACTGCTCATACCAAAGCTACTGATGGTGTTCACCAGTACTATCCTCCAGACTCATAAATGAGTTTCTAGAAAACCAAGGGTTTAGTTGAACTTCACCAAATACAATAATACCTACAACTTAGCTCTAATGCACACTTCTACCTCTAGTGGTTCTAATTATATGCTGATTAAGAAAAATTAACTTGATTTTCATCTAAGGTTTCTCAGTTAGTGGTGAACTAGCCCTGAACTGACAATCACTGCTAAATTACTTATACTTTGTAGCCTCTTTAGTCCCTAGGGCTGGGACAAACACTGGAATTAATAATTCAACAATACTTACTCTAAACACCTAATATTCATAAAAAGCTTACTTCATCCTTTGGGTGCTTAGTTAAAAAGGCTTCATTTATACAATGGGTAGAAATAAATAACTTTTTAAATCATGATATGGAGTTTGGAGCAAAACCTTACATCCAAATTCAAATGCATTAAGATTACAGAAATGGGGGCTGGAGTTGTGGTACAGTGCTTGCCTAGCATGTGTGAGGCCCTGGGCTCTATTCTCACACTGCATATAAATAAATAAAATAAAGGTCCATCAACAACTAAAAAAATAAATAAATAACATAAAAAAATACAGAAATGACTGTACAATCCACTCGTGGTAGTTTCAACTTTTTTTGCCACATGTCTTCTAAAAGTCCCTACCTTGATGTCTATAAAATTCTCTGGGCAGTACTTTTCAATTTCAGCTTCAAAGAGGACTAGGGGATTGCAGCTCTGCCTGGAAAACAAACAAAAGCACAAGGAGTCTTACCTCAGCACTAATGGTAGAGTCCTTTACTCTCATAAGAATGTACCACTCCAATGGGCTCACTGGTGGACCCCCAAAATGGCTCAGAGAAGCATGGCATGGTGGTGTGTACTATAATTATAGCTACTTGGGAGGCTAAGGTAAGAGAATCACTTGAGCCCAAGAGTTTGAGACCATTTTGGGAAACACAGAAGACTCCAACTTAAGGTGGGGGGGGAAGGCCTCGAGTTAAAAGCAAAGCTGTATCTCTGCACAGACCACTGTTCACTCTCCCACAAAGATGAGCTGATAAGATATTTTGGAACCCTTTCATGCATATGTGCAACAGGATAAATGCAGTCCAATGACTGCATGAGAGGGTCTGTTTTGGGGGAACACCTAAGAGTGGTTATTTATTCTAAAAATTATTTATTCTAAAAATTCCTGTTTTTTTTTTTTTTTTTTTTTTTTTTTTTACAATTTACAGTAATAATCAGAAAGTACTTCCCCTAGAAATTATACTGACCATTTTCGAAACTGCATCTGGAAATCATGAGCCAGTAAATGCCCAGAAACCGAAGTCATCACCATGGTAACACTCTGAATGATAACAAAATTCAAATCAATCTTTTTGTACTTACATTTTGCCATACAGTTCAAATCAAAAGAAGGAACTTCTATTAAAGAAAACACAAACAAAACAAAAGCAAAAATAAAAAAAAACCACATTGACTGGCAGGGTTGGGGGTGTAGCTCAGAGGTAGAGGGCTTGCCTAGCATGAACAAGGCCCTGGGTTCAATCCCCAGCATTGCAAACAAAACAAACAAAACAAAGCCCCCAAATCCCAAACTAAAAAACAGTTGACTGGAAAGAAACAAACATATACAATAACTCTTCAAATCAAAAACCATAGTAAGATAATCACCACTCTAATTCTAGTATCATAACACCTTTTGTATCATTTAAAGTTTTGTTACTCAGTGGCAGGGTGCTTGCTTAATATGCATGAGGCCCTGGGTTCAATCCTTAGTACTACATATACACAAACAAAAAAACAAAAACTCCTCGTTTATTAGTTTCTTATAAAACAGATAAGAAGGGACCATTAAAGCAACTTCTTTATAAGTTATAAAATTATCACCTTTAACCAGGAACCCTTAGGTAACAAAATTTAATTCTTTTTTTTTGGTGGTACTGGGGATTGAACCCAGGACTCTGAACACTGAGCTACATCTCCAGCCCTGTTTTTCATTCTGTTTTGAGACAGGGTTTCACTGAACTACCCAGGCTGCCCTTCAATTTGCAATCCTTCCATCTCAGCCTCCTGAGTAGCTGGGATTACAAGTATGCACTACCACACCCTTAAAAGAAACACACAGACACACACACACACACACACACAGACACACACACATATGATGTAGTAGTAGGGATTGAACCCAGGGGCACTCTACCACTAAACTACATCCCTACTTCATTTTTTATTTTGAAATAGGGTCTTGCTAAACTGCTAAGGCTAGCCTCATACTTGTAATCCTCCCACCTCAGTCTCCCAAGTAGCTAGGATTATAGGCATGTGCCACTGCATTCAGCTAAAAAAATTATTCTTAAGACGGTGACATATTTTACATATGGTGAGGCTAATTCTTCTTCACTGATTAAAAATAAACAATTAGGGAGGATGTATAGTATAGCCATGGCTGAAAACCCAAAGAATATACACCAAAATGGCACATGGACTTGAAACACACCTCAGCTTTATGACAAAAATATTTAGCACCTACCTGTCCATAGAGATGATAGTCAAATTCATAGATCTTGTTGAATTTAGAAAGTCCTTCTCTCTATAAAAACAAAAAATAAGTAAAAACTATAAACCGCATTAAAAAACAAATGATCATAAGCATAAGGATCAAGCAAAACTCAAATAAGTGGGTGTAGTGGTACATGCTTGTAATCCCAGTGGCTTGGAAGGTTGGGGTAGGAGGATAGTGAGTTCAAAAAGCCTACCTCAGCAAAAATGAGGCGTTAAGCAAGTCAGTGAGACCCTGTCTCTAAATAAAATATAAAATAGGGCTGCAGATATGGCTTAATTGTTGAGTGCCCCTGAGTTCAATTCCTGGTACTCCCCTAAAATAAACAAATTTTAAAAAAGCAACAATATTTCCTGTTGATTAAAAACTAGGCTAAATTACCCCCCGCCCCCCAGGACTGAACTCAGGACTTCAAGTGCACTCTGCCACTAAGCTAAATCCCCAACCCCTGGGCTAAATTACTAAGAGCTTTTTTTTTTTTTTTTTTTGAGACAGGGTATTGCTATCCTGAGTTGCTGGGATTATAGATGTGTGCCACTGTGTTAGGCTAGAATCCATAGAATTTTTATTCTGGAAAGTAAGCTTGAGGTCAGCTAATATAACATCTTCTCATAGATGAGAAAGGACTTGTCCAAGGTCACATGACAAATTAATGGCTTTAAGTGCTCTCATTCAGACAAAGTCTCTTAAACATTTTTTTATTCTTCCCTCCCCTAATATCTTTGTGATTTCAAGATCATAACAGTGCACCAATAAACTAGTGACCACAACCAAGTCATTCACATTTCTGAATCTCAAAACAATTTTTCTTAGTTGTCAATGGATCTTTATTTATTTTATGTGGTGCTGAGGATCGAACCCAGTGCCTCACACATGCTAGGCAAGGACTCTACCGCTGAGCCACAACCCCCAGCCCCTCAATTTACTCTTTTTTTTCCAATTTATTCTTGAATAAAGTTATTTCTTTATTTCCCCTGGCTCTGAAACTCAATGACACCACAAGCTGCAACCAAAATCCAACCTATGAAGCACCTCTGCTGCTGCAAGTGTGGATAAGCAAGACCCTCTCTGAGTAGTTCCCACCTTCCCAACTGGCATTCAAAGTTCTTCTACCAGCACTGAACAGAAGAGAAAGGTCATCTGAGGACTGGGAAATGTAACCTCTTTTGTGAAGTCTTTCCCAGACATTCTCTCTACTATTCCTTTCTTTGCTTCATCTCTAGTAGATTCCAGTAGTCTTTTTTTTTTTTTTTTTTTTTGAAGTGTTGGGGAATAAACCCAGAACTTTGAGCATGTTAGGCTAGTGGACTACCACTGAGCCCTATTCCTAGCCCCCAGCAGTCTGTTTTCCATCTGTCCTATAATACATCCTTAACAATAGTAGGCAGGTCCTATTAATTTATTCCTAAAACAGAGCCTGCTCCATGGTCAGTGTGCACTGAATAACACAATTCCTGCCTTTGAGGGACTTAAATTTTGATAGAGGAGTTTATGATTTGGCCATGTTTCTTGGTGCAGTTGTATGGCTTTGAAATAGCAAAGATGTTGAAGGATGAAGGAACAAATGGCCTTCATCTGTAGGAGTAGGAACAAGGTTGACTTCACTTCTAATCCCCAAATCTTACAGTGCAGCCCCATCAAGGTGCGATTAGAGAAGGAAAAAAAATCAAAGGGACTGCAGAAGTTGTGGCAGAGGAAGACTGGGGAGCCATCAGCCAAGACTTGAATTTCAAAAGTTAAGGTGTATGATTAGGGGTTTCCAACTGCACTGAACTTCGGGATCTGAAGGGAAAATTATTAAAATACAGATTTCCCTAGAACCACTCCGGATCCTGTGTCCCAGGAGTTTCGGAGAATTGGTCAAGTTTGGGAAAGCTGTTGTGGGCACAGATCAAAGGTTTTCGAGCAAATGCGGGGCTCACCCTAACTGCATTTAAAACCGCACATCGGTCGGAGGAGAACCTGGGGCTTGGGAGGGCAGACAAGCGGCCTCGGCAGTGGTCTGAGCGGGGAGAAGTCGCCTTCCTCTCGGTTATGAACGCCCACTCCGCGGTCCGCTAGGTGGGCTTCCCTCCCGGGGCCGAGCCTACTCAGAGCGCTCTCTTACCCGCCTCATGCGACCGTTGGACAGCAGGTCCGCGATACCCTTGGCCGCGTCATTTTTCTCGGCCACACAGAGGACTTTCCGCACGCCTCGGAAGGCAACTTCCATGGCGGAGCGGGACAAGTCACGGCATGTAGACTGTCGCAGCCAACGGAACACGTATCGGGTGACTGGGAAGATCATCCCTAGGCCCCGCGCCCGCAGTCGATCCCACTCCGCGGTTGCCCGAGCATGTCGGGGAAGCCGGTACCGCCCACCGCAAGGGAACTAGAATCTCTAGGCGCCGACCGCGCTTTCGACCAGTCAACTCGCAGGCCTTCGGAAAGCTGTCAAAGGGCTTTCTCCCGGCCGCTGCCTCCTCTACAACGATCCCCGCACCTCAGGGTCCTACTTCCGCCCGCCTTTCTGGAGTGCTTCCGCCAGGCGCGCGTCCTACAGCGGTCACGAACTACAACTCCCAGACTGCCTTGCACTCGCGCTCAAGCTTTTTTCCGCCCCCCTCTCTGGGTCCCCACACTGCCCCACTTTCCCTTTGTTCAGGACAGTGGTTGGTAATAGGACTCATCGTTGGGAGAGGCTGCCCGCTGGATAGTCCCGTCCAAAGTGCTCGGTCTCTAACGAGCTTTTTCTCTCTAGCTCAGACGTCGGCACTGGCGCTTCCGGGTCACGCAATACCGATGACCGCGAGTCATGTGATACCAAGATGGCGGCACCGCGATAGCTGGCTCCCGGTTGTGGCGTCCAAGAAGCCGCGACGGTTTCTGCCCTCTGGCCGTGGGGGCGGCAACCTTGGCTGACTCCTGCGGCGGCCCGTAGCCCGTGTTGGGTACCCGATCCGGGGCTGGGGCTGTTGCTGTCGCAGCGTGTTCGGGGGAGTGCTGGTGACCTCGCTGCAGGTGCCTTGGCTGGCCGCGCTGGCCGGAGGAAGAGGCGAGCAAGCAGCCTCCTTGATCACTTGGGCCTTTGATGTTCATGAGGACTTGGAGGGCTCTGGAGGAGCTACCTCTCTGAGGGAGTTGCGGAAGTTCCAGCCATCGCGTGTGTGAGGCAGCCTAGGACCCCTGGGGGCTCAAAGGAGGCAGCAAGGACCGCGCTTCCCTGGCTTCGTCGCCTTGATTAACCCTGCATTGCTTCCCACTTCCTCTCAATGTTCTCTCCATTTATCAGGAAATATGATCAGCGCCCCTGACGTGGTGGCCTTCACCAAAGAAGACGAATACGAGGAAGAGCCTTATAATGAGCCGGCCCTGCCGGAGGAGTATTCAGTGCCACTCTTCCCTTTCGCCAGCCAGGGGGCCAACCCGTGGTCAAAACTGTCCGGGGCCAAGTTCTCCAGGGATTTCATCCTTATTTCCGAGTTCTCTGAGCAGGTGGGACCCCAACCCTTGTTGACCATCCCTAATGACACCAAAGTTTTTGGCACTTTTGATCTCAATTACTTTTCCTTGCGGATCATGTCTGTGGATTATCAGGCTTCCTTCGTGGGCCATCCTCCAGGTTCTGCCTACCCTAAGCTAAACTTTGTGGAGGACTCCAAGGTGGTGTTGGGAGACTCCAAGGAAGGAGCCTTTGCGTATGTGCACCACCTTACTCTGTATGACCTGGAGGCCCGTGGCTTTGTGAGGCCTTTTTGCATGGCTTATATCTCGGCAGACCAGCATAAAATCATGCAGCAGTTCCAGGAGCTTTCAGCTGAATTTTCCAAAGCATCGGAATGCTTAAAGACGGGTAACAGGAAGGCATTTGCTGGAGAACTTGAAAAAAAACTGAAAGACTTGGATTACACTAGGACAGTGCTGCACACAGAAACAGAGATCCAGAAGAAAGCCAATGACAAAGGCTTTTATTCATCTCAGGCCATTGAGAAAGCCAATGAACTGGCCAGTGTGGAGAAGTCCATCATTGAACATCAAGACCTGCTGAAGCAGATCCGCTCATACCCTCATAGGAAGGTGAAGGGGTCTGATTTGTCTTCTGGTGAGATACAACACTCCCAGGATCAGGCCAACCAGGCATCTGCTACCTCTAATCCTGATGAGTCTGCTGACACAGACCTTTATGCCTGCCGACCAGCTTACATCCCCAAACTCATCAAGGCAAAGTCCACTAAGTGTTTTGATAAGAAGTTGAAGACCTTGGAGGAACTCTGTGACACTGAGTATTTTACCCAGACCCTGGCCCAGCTCAGCCACATCGAGCACATGTTCAGAGGAGACCTGTGCTACCTCCTGACTAGTCAGATTGATAGAGCACTTCTAAAACAGCAGCACATAACAAACTTCCTCTTTGAAGACTTTGTAGAGGTTGATGACAGGGTGGTGGAGAAACAAGAGAGTGTACCTTCTCAGCCCAGACAAGACAAGCTGCTTTCCAGACCTTTGGAAGAACGCCCAATTCCTAAAGTGTTAATTAGTGTTGGTTCTTACAAGTCCAGTGTGGAGTCTGTGTTGATAAAGATGGAACAGGAACTTGGAGATGAGGAATACAAAGAAGTAGAGGTGACAGAGCCAAGCAGTTTTGACCCCCAGGAAAACCTAGACTACCTGGATATGGATATGAAAGGGAGTATCAGCAGTGGTGAAAGCATTGAGGTTTTGGGCACGGAGAAGTCCACCTGTGTGCTGTCTAAATCTGACAGCCAGGGCAGCCTCACGGTACCATTGAGCCCCCAGGTGGTCCGGAGCAAAGCAGTTAGCCACAGGACCATCAGTGAGGACAGTATTGAAGTTCTGAGCACCTGTCCTTCTGAAGCCCTCATCCCTGATGACTTTAAGGCCAGCTACCCAAGTGCCATTAATGAAGAAGAATCCTATGCAGATAATGAGGGGGCCATCCATTTCCAAGCAAGCATCAGTTCACCAGAGCTGGGTGAGGCTGGAGAGGGCAGCTTGGAAAATACCCCATCCCAAATAGATTCTTCTTGCTGTATTGGGAAAGAGAGTGATGGTCAGCTGGTGCCACTCCCCACTCCAGCCCATACTTTCTCTGATGAGGATGGTGTGGTGAGCATCCCCCCACAGCGCTACCGGCAAAAGGATGAAGGATTCCATGTGGACTTTGCTGTGGAAAACACCAACCCTTCTTCCCAAGACAACAGTTGTGAAACATTCCCAGCTTATGAGCTGGACCCAAGCTATCTGCTGGCTAGCCGGGATGTCAGTAAGACCAGCCTGGACAACTATTCAGATACCACCAGCTATGTAAGCAGTGTGGCCTCTACCAGCTCGGACAGGACTCCCTCTTTTGCTCATCCGGTTGGCCCATCTTCTGAGAGGCATAAAAAGCGGGCTGGCCAGAACGCCTTAAAATTCATCCGCCAGTACCCTTTTGCCCACCCAGCCATCTACTCCCTGCTCAGTGGGAGGACACTAGTGGTCCTTGGGGAAGACGAGACTATAGTCAGGAAGCTTGTGACGGCACTATCTATCTTTGTCCCCAACTACAGCCGCTATGCCAAACCTGTGAAGCACTGGGTCTCCTCCCCTTTGCACATTATGGATTTTCAGAAGTGGAAACTTATTGGCCTGCAGAGGTAATTGGCTCCAGGTGGTGGGGAAAGGCCCTGGTCAGTTTGAGATAAGGCAGGTTGATGTCATGGACAGAACCAGGAAACTTGGTTTCTAGACAGGGCCCAACACCAACTGATAGTGTTGCTTTGGCAAGTCATTATTCTCTGACTTCTGTTTCCTTTCCTCTTGGGTTGGGGGAGGGGTCATACTTCCTAAGTGGTTGCCAAACCATCTGCCCCCCTGCTGTGTCAGAATTATTTGGGAAGATTTTTTAAAATCACGGATTCCTAGGCTTTATCCTAAAGATTCTTGGTCTGCAGTAAGAACACGGACTTTACATGGGTCACCACCTCCCGAGTCCCCTTTTTATTTGCCCCAGGAGTAGAAGTTATGGACCTCACTCCGACCCTTGTTGCATTAGACTATTGGGGTGGTGATGGTGGTGTTATAGCAAGTGCCACTTCTTGACTTAAATCACTTGTGGAGAATCCACTCCAGGCTGTGCCAGCAGGTTTTGGGGACAAGCTGAAGGTACCTGAGCAAGACAATGCTCTGGAAGAATTCATATTCAGGAGAGAAGACAGGTGACCAGAGCACTGGCATTCAGGGAGATAAATGGGATGTTCCCTGTGTTCTGAGAAGACCAAAGAAGCAACTTAGTGACACATAGGAAGTGAGGGGATGGTGCTTTGAGAAGGACCTGGGTCTTTGGCTTGAGTGAACAGGAGGGTGGGTTGGCTACTCATTGGGTCAGGAAGACCAAGTAAGAGACCAGGCATGGCTCTGAATGAGCCATTCTAGGGCCTCCCAGGGAAACCATCCAGTCCCTGAAAAGAAAGCCCTTCCTGGATGGCTTTTGGTTGCTGATACTTAYGGAATGATGGGTCAGTATCCCCCCACACCCCTCCTTCTGTTCTCCAATTCACTCTTCTCATCCCAACTTTTAACTTGTCAGAGGTAGAGAATCTAAAAGACACAGTAGGGGAAGCTCATAGTTCATCAATCTGTCAACACATGATGACTCATCTGGATCAGGGTGGCCCAGAATGGTGAAAGGCTGGAGTGCCTCGTGGAGGGGTTCTGAGGGCCAGGCTGGCCAAGTTCGAAAGGTTGGCAGTGATATGTGAGTGATGGGGTGAGGGTGACAGGCAAGGTTGCTGGCCTGTAGGCAGTATATTTGCCCCCTGGAGGGGAAGAGGGAGTCTCAAATCTGAATTCTGGGGCCATCCTATACTGGCCCATTCATTTTGGGGTCACTCCTCCATTCTAAGAAAAATAAGAGGGTTGGATCACTGAATGGTCATTTGCCAAATATTTATGAGGACAACTAAATGCCAGATTCTGCCTAGTGCCAGGATTACAAGGTGAGCCACTCCTTCCCTCCTGTAGTACACATCACGTTCCTCACTATGATGTGAGGGATGACACCAAATCAGTACAGTCTTAGATCTCTAGGATGCAGTGCTTGTGCATTCCTGACTGATGTGAGGGATGAGACCAAATCAGTACAGTCTTAGATCTCTAGGATAGCAATGCTCCTTGTGAAGTGGGGAGGTGAGTAAACAGCAGTTGCCACGTTGGTTAGTGCTGGGCTCAGAGTCGCAATGATGATGACAGAAGCACTGACTGTGGGCTAGTCACCATACTAACATGGCTCATTTTGTCACTGCAGTGACCCAACAAGGAATATAACAGTAGGAACTGTTATCTCTACCTCATAGAGAAGCGTTCAGGGTAAGGATCCTGGTCCCAGAGTCACAGAAGCAGAGGAACATAGAGCAGCTCAGGGAGGGAAGAATATGATTTAAATAGGCATGAGTCAAACCCAAGCAGAGAGAAGGGCATTGTAAGCAAGGCAAACAGGAAGGGTATTTTT